TCATTCACAGCTCCTATAAGATATCAGCACCTTATGCCTTATTAAAGCAGACCCGTTTAGTGTCTGGTGTTTAGTTCGGGTTGACTGATGTGGTCACCTCTCCGAACGCTCCTCGGCCGATGACCTTCAGACTCTCGAAGTCGTCCAGCCCGAGTCTCGTCCTCTTTAGCCGCAAAAACTCTGTCTCCTTGCGGGCGTGCTGAGAGCGCCTCACCCGCTTCTACAACACACACACACACACACACACTGCTCAGAGTGGGTGGGAGACGAGTGACTGAGGGGGGATCTATCAAACACATCTGGGGACGCTGAGATTTTCTACATGATTTTAATAAATGATCTTTGTCTGGTTTAATAACTGCCCACATTAAAGCCTAATCAGGTTTATTCAGAGGAAATCAGTTTCCATCCATGGCAGCAAAAGACCCCGCCCACTTTATCCCTTATAAACAGACTCTGCCTTTAAGAATGATATATGTAAATGAGCTCTGTTCTAGTTGAACGCCCTGTATTGTGCCTCATTCAAAAAGCGAAAATGGGCGGAGCTAAACTGCTGTAGGCTGGATGGGCGGGACTAAACGGCTGTATGCTAATAATGTGTTAATATGTAAATGAGCTAGACAGTTAATTCAAAACAGGCTGTTTTTGAACGGTATGTTTTGAAACTTTAAGAATCGAGGAAGTTTATTGATATTAGCCCTTTGAACCACCTTTTAGTTTCAATATGCGTTTTAATAACAGTTTGGAAAAGAAAACTATTTAGACAAAAGCTGCTCTTCTTACCAAGAAGATACTTTGATGATCATGAAGCTGAGAAGATAAACATACGGAGGCGTCCACCACGGCTCCACGCTGCCGTGGGGAGCTGAGGGGGTGTGGCTATGCAGAGTAGCTCCATGCAGAGCACGTGTGCCACAATCTCAGGGTTAAAAAGGGATATTTGTTGTTGTTGTTGTTGTTGATGTTGTGTTGTGGTCAGTGTAGGTGTGTCTCCAAGGTGGGGGGGTTTAGCTGTGTGTGAATGTATCTACTCTGGACTGGCCGAGTGTGTGTTAGGGCTCGATGTCGAAGGGTCTGTTGCAATGAAAGAGGATTTGGTTGTAGGCGCAATCTGGTCTGGTTCTTCTTCTACACTGACGCTCCAATACAGAGAGCATCAGCACAGAGCTGATATATGACAAACTAAAACCAACAGTCAAAATCAAACTCTCTCTAAAGAAGACGAGCTGTCCCCAAACTTTTGACAGGCACTGAACATTATATTAAGTTGTAATAACGGCGTATTCACCTCCTCATCAGGAAGACCCTCCTCCTCCATCACCTTCTCCAGCTTCTGCTGCCTGAAAACACACAGAAAGGAGACAATCAAGTTCCTCTAATTAGCATATTTTAGTATGCTGGATCGTGATAGGTTAATGGTGATGTTAGAAAACGAGCTAACACTCACCAAGTTATACAAACAAGTACAGTTTAAAGTTTTAATTTTAACCCAGTAGGAGTTCAAGAACTGCCGGTAGATGAATTAGACCAATAAGAAGCAACCAAACATCCATGTGCTGTGACATCACAACCACAACTGTCCGCCTGCCTTACTGTACTCAGAGATAAGGCCTCCAGCTAGAAAGAGTCGACATGGAGTTTATTTTATTTCTTTTATTTCGCCACACCTGCTCAGTTATATAACCAACATGTTTAAAGAGATTCGTGGAGTTTTATGGACCAGAAACAGCTCATTTCCAAACTGCCTCAATCCCTGAAGGCTCATTTATTCTCAGCATTAAACACAGACGGAGCTTCTGTCCGTATCTGCATTTATTAGACACGTCTGTGTTTGTGCACGTTCTCTAAAAGCTTACCGGTACAGACGGAACGGGGCAGAACCACCGGAAACTGCTGTACTGCTTAACATCCATGCCAACATAAAGGACACATGGAAGTATGTGGGCAGTGACGGTCACTTCATTTGAAACGGACGTACGTCCGTTTGAGCCTTTGGAATTGAACAGGTTGCTCCTTAATGACCAACATGTAAATGAGCTCTGTTTTGATTGGCTGTGCCTCATTCAAAAAGCAGTCTGGGCTGAAACACTCCTCAGAACTTCAGCGTGAATGGGGGCTAAACTGCTGTAGGCTGAATGGGTGGAGCTAAACTGCTGTAGGCTGAATGGGTGGGGCTAAACTGCTGTACACTGAATGGGTGTGGCTAAACTGCTGTAGGCTGAATGGGCGGGGCTAAACTGCTGTAGACTGAATAGTGGAGCTAAACTGCTGTAGACTGAATGGTGGTGCTAAACTGCTGTAGGCTGAATGGGCGGGGCTAAACTGCTGTAGACTGAATGGTGGAGCTAAACTGCTGTAGACTGAATGGTGGGGCTAAACTGCTGTAGACTGAATGGGCGGGGCTAAACTGCTGTAGACTGAATGGTGGAGCTAAACTGCTGTAGACTGAATGGTGGAGCTAAACTGCTGTAGCTGAATGGTGGAGCTAAACTGCTGTAGACTGAATGGGCGGGGCTAAACTGCTGTAGACTGAATGGGCGGGGCTAAACTGCTGTAGACTGAATGGTGGGGCTAAACTGCTGTAGACTGAATGGGTGGGGCTAAACTGCTGTAGACTGAATGGTGGGGCTAAACTGCTGTAGACTGAATGGTGGAGCTAAACTGCTGTAGGCTGAAAGGGTGGGGCTAAACTGCTGTAGCTGAATGGGTGTGGCTAAACTGCTGCAGGCTGAATGGGTGTGGCTAAACTGCTGCAGGCTGAATGGGTGTGGCTAAACTGCTGCAGGCTGAATGGGAGGACTTATGTTTACCTGTTGCTTTTTGTGACCTCACAAAAACCACAAACTTTTAAAACGAGTTGTTTCTGCAGGTCAGGGATCAAACAGTTGTTTAACAGTGTTTACATATTACACCAAAACTCATTTTTGCATGATATGGGCTCTTTAATATGCATCAGACGGGTCAGACTGACTCAAGCTTTACGAGTCTGGTCCGCTGTGCTGTCTGACCTCTTCTTCTCTAAGAGGGAGAGTTTTACTCTGTTTACTTCCTCTCTGCAGGGCGTCTCCACTCCACTGTGTTCACAGTGTTCACGCATCACTTCCTGTCTGAACTCTCACTGCTGTTAGACTCCAACGGCTCCAGTGTCACAACCCAGACAGACCGCAGGTCATCAGAGAGTCAGATAACCTTCACTCAGCGCCTGCTTTAACAGGAAAAGGCCGTTTGACTGACATACAGACTGACCAACTGCAGGGCTCTGGATTCTCTCACTGCGTCTGTAAGAATTTGCTCGCTGGTTTACAGTGACCAGGTTTCTGAAATGAAAATTCAGGGACGTTTCCAGTTCGACGGTCAATATATCATCAAAATATCCAATGTTTTTATCTATGAAATAAAAAAGCGGGGTCAGTTTCTGTTTCCTGTATTTTGACCATGATAACCGCTGTACTGTAATAAACTCCGGTGGAGACCGACTGATAAACTGGGTACTAACTAAGTAACTTAGTAAACCGTTTCAGACAATCATACAGTAGCTACCATGCAGAGTGAAGCTGGTCAACTGTGGAACTCTCAATAAAGAAAATGGTCAGCATGCATGGGAATAAATTACAGTAGTCTTATAAAAGATAAACATATTTCTTGCTTTCCCCCTCGTGAGATTTGTTGCTTGCTGCTGTTTAGAAATAAAGCCTCTCAGTAAAAAGGGCCCCAAAAGTCACTAAGTCTAGCGGCTCAGGCAGGAATGAGTCAGAGATACGTTCACCACTAAAGATTGAGTGGCTGTCTGAACCCATAATTCATATTACTTTATATTAAATATTTTGGCAGTAAAAGAGACCCCTGTCTACAGAAAGAAGACCTGTGTCTGTAGCCCAAAATCCAGACCCTAAACTGACCCCTGGGCAGCTCCAGTTCTGGACAGACAGAGACGCTGATCAGCATGTGCCATAAGTCAGATATGGAGGCTGAAAAAGTGACTCAGATTAAAACGATGCTCTGTTTGTATCTCATGGTGGCTTCATTCCAGTAGACTGTCTGTCTGAACAAATCAGAGCCACCGATCAGCTGGTAGAGTGATTCAGTCCCGTAACTCCACCCCTGCTTTAACCCCTGGGTCACCTCGAGTCCTGAAAAGACGTTTGTGGTGAGGTTGTGGATAAAACTAGGCGAGAAAGTGGTAGAAGTGGTCAGTAAACAGCAGCAGCGCCCCCTACTGGACAAAACAAGCACAGCGTGAGATGCCTGCCCGTCTGTTCTGCTGCTGGTCTTTCTGAGGACTTTGCGCTTTGTTTTTAACTTACAGTTAAAAATGGGGACATTCCCGGGGACAGACCATCAGTGTTGACTCGGTCCATGGAGCTGGGATCACCGGGACACTGATGACTCAATTACATGTGAAACAGATGTGATGGTACACAACGACACAGTACCAACAAGAGCGACTGGGCAGCTCACCTGCTGTGGTCAGCCGTACAGTCATTTTAGAATGGTTACTTCATCAACATTCTCATTTAGTTCACACTGAGGCGAGATACAGCCGTGCCTCAGTCACACACAGCGGGGTTTAAGGCAGTTTCTTCACTCGATTAACGGAGCTAATTTCTGTTAGCATTGCTAGCGCCAATCTAACTCTGGTTCAACTAAAGCTGATCATAGCAGCCGTAGCTGAAACACAGTCAACGACGGCTGAACAGACTCAGTAACATTTCAACAACACTGGGCCTCGTTCTCCAAACGTTCTTAAGAAGAAATTTGTTCTTAAACCCACTTACGCAGTTTTAACGAAGATTCTGACTCACCGATGTTCTCCTATGTGCGGTTTGTTCTTAGGTAAGAACAGAATCTACACACACTCAAGAGCACAAAGGTGAGAACAGTTCTGCGCTTTAAGAACACGACATGAATCTGACGGAGACTTTTTCTTAAGATCTTTCTCAAGAATACGTTTAAAAACAAACTTAGAAAGATGTTGGAGAACGAGGCTCAATACTATTAACATCTGAGCCTTTCAGTAAAGGGTTAAACCTAAAGTCTGCAACTGAATGAATGAAGGAGTCATTGCTGACTGTGAGACGTATCGGACCTGATGTGAACATTCCGCTGCGTTAAAGAGCCGGCAAAAAATCTGGTGTGAACCGGCCTTAAGTCCAAAATCTTCTCTAAACTATCATAAACAGTGTCTCAGTCATCAGGCAGTGAATTCATAACCATTTACTGTAGTAACTTTCTGTGAGGGAGCTTTTAGAGGTGGACGTCTGGTTCCTATCACCACCACTGTGAACAGTTCTGACTCGGTAAGTTTATCTAGAACAGAGCGTTTCACACCAAACCACTCTGAACCGCTCTGAACCGCTCTGTTTACATCTTAACCAGTTAATTATGCATTTTATTCAACTTTAATTAAAATGATGATCAAATGTACTTTAGCCCATGTTTATAGAGAACAGTGAGTCATACAGTGTCAGAAACCACATAATCAAGTCTACCAGAGATACTGAACACCTCCAGGAGAGAGAGTGATGATCTAGACATGCAGTTAGCACTGTGCTAATTGGTGGGTATAAGCTTCCATTAGCTGTTAGCTACATTAGCCTCGTAGCTCCAGTGTTAAAACTAAAGAAGCAAACTTCAGACACCAAAAGTGTCTTGGCTGTCTGACTACATTTGAGGTGAGCTGGAAAAAACTGGGGGATTTTGCTTTTTCATGGAACTATTGCTTAAACCTGTGAGTGACCTCAGCTCTGTTACTATTTACAGTGGACATTTTTATCAGAACAAAAACAGAAGAGCAGAAATGTGTGAAGTGTGGAATGAGAAGCACGCAGCATGATTCAACCAAATGAAAAACATTAACTATGCAGAGCAGCAGAGCAGAACCTCAGCCAGCCTGAGCAGCCAGCGTGTAAATACACCCCACAGTTTCTGAGTGTTTTTAAAAGGTAATATATTAACTGGGTCACTGAAAATCCAGAAAACATTCAGCTGCTGTGTACCTCGCTAATACTTTCACTAACTGGCCACTTTATTAGAAACACCCACCTTGTGCTTCCATTCACTGGCCACTTTATTAGAAACACATCCCTTACAGCTTCACACATAACAGATATTTACAGTGTGTAGTAATATAGAATATACTGCGACAGGGATGCCTCTGGGACAGAATGCTTACTAGCTGAGCCCCCACCCTCTCCCCCCAGTGTAACAGACCCCCCCGAAATTAAATTCTGTGTGTGTGTATTGGTGTGTGTATGTATGTGTGTGTGTGTGTCCGTGTGTGTATGTACGCACGTGTGTGCGTGTATGTGTGTGTGTATGTGTGTGTGTATGTGTGTGTGTGTGTGTGTGTGTGTGTGTACCTCATCTCTCTCTCCTCGTGCTGGGTGATGAGGTTGCTGTAGAAGTTCTCCAGTGTGACCTTGGCCATGGTTACTCTCTCCTTGGTGTGGTTACTCAGCAGTGAACCTGAGGAGTGACCTCGCATCGCCATGGTTACCTGCAACACAACAACAAACTGCTCAGTACTAGAAATGTGATGTGTTTTCTAATCTTTTCTAATATGATGATAATAAATTACAACTGAGTGCTAAAAAATACACACACACACACGCACGTACACAAACACACATACACACATACACATGCACACACACACACGCATGCACGTACACAAACACACATACACACATACACACGCACACGCACGTACACAAACACACACACGCGCACGTACACAAACACACATACACACATACACACGCACACGCACGTACACAAACACACACACACGCACCTACACAAACACACATACACGCACACACACACACGCACGCGTACACAAACACACACGCGTACACACATATTTTTCTTTTTTAATAAAACGAATGGCATTTTCTTATTTTTCTTCTTTTTTGTATTATAATAATAATAGTAAATGTAGGTATTGTGATATAAACCGAGTCTGTTCTACAGTTTCTCTTTAGGCTGAATGAATAACCGACTCTAAATGTAGGTATTGTGATATAAACTGAGTCTGTTCTACAGTTTCTCATTAGGCTGAATGAATAACCGACTCTAAATGTAGGTATTGTGATATAAACCGAGTCTGTTCTACAGTTTCTCTTTAGGCTGAATGAATAACCGACTCTAAATGTAGGTATTGTGATATAAACTGAGTCTGTTCTACAGTTTCTCATTAGGCTGAATGAATAACCGACTCTAAATGTAGTGAATACAGTAAATAAACAGAGCAGGACAGTAAAAGGCAGATATAAAGTGCAGATATAAACATGTGAGAAATGAATACAGATCTGAACACATTCAGCATGAAAAGAGGAAGAAAGACAGAAGAACAGAGGGAATCGGTGAAGGTAGAGCTCTCTGTTACAAACAAACACACTGCATCATTTGCATGGATCACAAAAGATGCACCGTCCAGACCTTCTCCAGTTACAGTCAACACTTCCTGCTTTAGAACCAAATCCACTGTAAACATCTCCTCACCTTCACTCACCTCAGCAGGAGCTGACCGTACAGACGGTCACTGAGTAAACAGGGTTAAATCAGAGCTGAGCTCAGCTGAGCGAGTCGCTCCGCTCTGTAATCCAGCTCTAACGCTGGGAGAGAGACAGTCGCACTAACTCTGTTTACTGACACACTGTCCACAAACGCAGCGTGTGATTTGTGGGCAGGAGCCGCCGCAGACCGGGCTAACTTTAACTTGGAAACTTGGAGAACGGACAGAACAGGAAGCCCGGAAACTCCTGCACTCCTCCATTTCCATCTCCTCACATCAGAACCAGAACCAGAAAAGCAATCAGAATCAGTATTAGATCACAATCAGAATTAGAATCTGAATCAGAATCAAAATTAGATCAGAATCAGAATTAGAGGCATAAACAGAATCAGAATCCGAATCATAATCAGAATTAGAATCAGAATCAGATCATAATCAGAATTAGAATCTGAATAAGAATCAAAATTAGAATCAGAATCTCACTTAGAATTAGAATCAGAATTAGAATCAGAATCTATATCAGAATTAGAATCTAATTTAGAATTAGAAGCATAAACAGAATCAGAATCCGAATCAGATTCAAAATTAGAATCAGAATCAGAATTAGATCAGAATCAGAATAATGAATTAGAATGAGTAATAAGAATTAGAGTACTAAGAATCAGATTTCTATACTCTTTAAAAAGATGGTTCTTCAGGAGTTCTGTAGTCCAGAAAATGACTCTAACAAGAACCATGAACAGTCAAAGAACCTTTGCATGATTTAAGGGTTCTCTGCATGGTGAAATCGTTCTTCAGATTGATAGAGAAGTGCTGTAGATGGTTCTATATAGAACCTTATTGAAAACGGTTTCACTAATGGCACCAAAAAGGGTTCCACTATTGTTAAAAGCCATAGAACCCTTTTTTGGCACTATGTAGAATAGCATTCTGCTGAGACTGTAGAGAATTTGAATCAGAAACAGAATTAGAATCTAAATCAGAATTAGAATCATAAAACAGAATCAGAACCGGAATCAAATTCAAATTTAGAATTAGATTTATACAGAGAATCTGAATCAGAAACAGAATTAGAATCTGAATCAGAATTAGAATCAGAGTTGGATTAGAAATCAGAAGTACAGTTAGTATCAGAATTAAGATTAGAGAAAACAATGTAAAACTGTGTCAAAATCTTGCCAAGTGCCAGATACGCAAGAAATCTGTCCCGACGCTGGTGTGAACACAAATTCCAGTACAAGAAAATGTGTAAATAAAGAAACACAAACACTAAATAATATATAAACAGCAGGTGTTACAGGTGTTACTACACAGTGTCCATTCTGAGGTGGTGTTATGACTGTGTGTTACTGTTATTGGGATAAATTCTGTAATGATCCACTTTTACTGTGTATTTGATGATCAGGACTTCTAGAATTCTGAACAACTGGATGGATCATAATAAAGACCATTATATGATCTATAAACAACAACAACAACAACCAATGTACAGTGGCTGAATAAACTGCACAGTAACAAAGCAGCTGATTGGATGGCGGCCCATTATGACATCATAACATCTTACTGATTATGTCTCGTATCTCCAAAACGAGAACTTTACAGGAGAAGGAAAAACATTATTAACTTGTAATGGAAGTTAAAGTAAAATATTTTTGAACATTCCTGTTGGTCCGTTCATGAAATTTTACATATAAGGTTTTTGCGCAAAAGCAACAATTTACTTTCAATTTCAAGTCATGTAGACCAGTGAGAGGATATCTGATCCCAGAACAGACACACTGACCCCAAACTGGGCTAATAATGCTTCTGTACTGACAGAAATCAGTTGCAGGACTAATGACAGAGTAATAAGCCTCTTAATTAAGGGGTCAGTCCAGCGGTCGCCAACATGCGGCTCCTTTACTGTCTTGTTGTGGCTCCACAGCTGAATCAGATTAGTAGGTAAAAATAAAATAATCCTCCTTTACAGTAAAATAAAGCTCTGCTGATCGTTCAACACAGTTTAACAATAAATGGTCTTAAACTCTGGAGTTAATGTAGAACTGCTGATTCACCCTTTAACCCTGAAGATCAGCGCAGACTGCTGGTCACCATAGCAACACAGACAATCTCGCCTAGCTAGTAGCTAACGAAATGGCAAAGAGGGAGATAATCGGTAATTAACGAATTAACTTATTTGCGTTTATAATCACTCCAGCTGGTTTCCTGATACGTTTAATCTGCAGTGAGAAACTCAAACACTAAAGTCGTGAAGCTGAAGTCAGTTTCTCATTCGCCACCTTCTCATTCGAATTGTCCCGTTCCACCTTAAACGGTGCAGCAGCTATATTCTTGCGCCACAGGCACCATTTAAGGTGGAATGGGAAAATTCGAACAAGAAGCTGGTGAATGAGAAGAGACTTCAGCCTCGTAAAAAGTCGAACGTTGAGAGACATTTTACAAGAAACTGTTCTACTTTTGAGGAAAAGTTTCCTGCTGGAGATGTGAGAAGAGCTGCTACAGCTGAGCTGAAGCTTAAAGCAGAGCAAAGTCTGCATGTGAGTTTATATTTTTAGCTCATATTTACAGCCAAAATGGTAAAACGTTACTTCAATAAATGTTGTGGCTCCCAAGATGACTTTTTTGTTAAAAGGATAAAATGGCTCTTTTTTGGGTCGTGACCCTGAGTTAAAATAAAGAAAACCACAAACACAGAACCTCAACTAACACTGAAGAAGAACTATAGTGCCAGAAATACTACAGCCTACAGCAGTTTAGCCCCGCCCATTCAGCCTAGAACAGAACAGAGCTCATTTCCATACATCAGTCTTAAAGGCACAGTAACAGAACAGCCTGTCATTGTAAGGGATGAAGAGAGGCTGGGAAATGATCAGGTAATGACTGGTAAACAAATCCACACTAATGTTACATATGGAGCTCAAAAAACACACAAAAAATACAGAATATGAGCTCTTTATGGGATCCAGCAGTTAAAAGTAACACTACTTTATCTTTCACTAATTATAAAAAGCAAAATATAAGTATGAATAAATAATCAGAAAGAGACAGAAGACTTTAAAAACAGAAAATGAACGACCAAACTTACTGCAATATCATCTAATCTACCAAATTATATATATTGATCACTTGCATGATAATAACTCTCCTGTTATCTTCGTATGTACTGACCTCTTTATCCTTGGGGTCAGTTTGACTGCAGCAATATGAACCTCCAGGAAATGATTATGATTAAAACTGTTACTCAAGTTCGTCTGAGGTTCTTTGTTTCTTTGCAAAAAAATGTCAGTCATTAATTCAGAGACGTTAAAACAATGAATCATCAAACTGACCCCAAAGATAAAAGCAGGCATAATCACAACAGTGTGTATGGATGCGTTTACGGACACTTAGACTGGACATTTACACTCTTGCTGTAGTTGTTGTTGAGTAAGAGTGGAGCTCTGAGTGCTGAAGGCCTGAAGTCAGACTGACCCTCAGCGGACCTTCAAACACACAGAACCGCTCTTTAACTCTTTAACTGTTAACTCTCTAACAGCAGCGCTGAGAGGTGAGATGATGGAAAAGCAGGAGAAGAAGTGAGACTGGAGGACAGACAGAGCACAGCAGCAGCGATGACGTGGGCACTAAAAGTTTAGCTCGGAAAAAAAACACGGAGATCTTTGTGAGTGTCGCTCGGCTCGACTCGGCTCGGGCCCGCTCGGCTCGGCTCGGCTCGACTCGGCTGTGTTAGGCCGAGGAGCAGCGGAGCGGCGGAGGCGCGCTTACCTGCTGTGGAGCTTCTGATCTTCTCGGTTCCTGGATGCTCCTCTCGAGGCTTTTGTTCTCGGCCAACTGACATGGAGCCAGTCCGAGGAGGGCACGCGCACTGCGGAGTTCCCCCAGCAGCTCTGTAAAAACTACACAACTACAAAACTACAGACTTCCCTCCTGTGTGAGGCGGAGAGAGAGAGAGAGAGAGAGAGAGAGAGAGAGAGAGAGAGAGAGGATCTGTGAACGAGTGAAAGTTCTCCGGACCTCCAGCTCCCTCCTGCTTCTTCCTCGAGCGAGCAGAGGAAAAGAGAATTTCAGGCTAAATGCGGAAAAAGCCCCGCCCACCACACACACACACACACACACACACACACACACACTGTGAGTAACGGTGCAGGAATAGTTTAGCAACACACACTTTCACAACACTCGCTCTTCACTGCATTAAAGGCCCGTATTATACCCTACACTCTAAAAGAGAGGGTTCTTCAAGGGTTCTTTAGTAAAGAAAGTGGTCCTATATGCAGCCATGAACACTTAAAGAACTCTGGGCATGTTTAAAGGGTTCTATATAGCACCCAAAGGTTCTTCAGTTGTGACAAGTTCGACACTTATATAGAAGAACAATAGAAGAATCCTGTTTGGTGCTACATAGAACCCTTTTCAAAAAGGTTCTGTATAGAACCATCTACAGCACATTCTCCATCAGTCTAAAGAACCCTTGCATGATCCAAATAACTTTAATTATGCAAAGTTCTAATTATGCAGTTCTTTGAGTGTTCATGGTTCTATATACAACCATTTTTCTACTAAAGAACCCTTGAGGAACCATCTTTTTGAGTGTTCATGGTTCTAGTTAGAACCATTTTCTTTACTAAAGAACCCTTGAAGAACCATGTTTTTGAGTGTTCATGGTTCTATACAGAACCATTTTCTTTACCAAAGAACCCTTGAAGAACCGCTTTTTTGAGTGTTCACGGTTCTGTATAGAACCATTTCCTTGACTAAAGAACCCTTGAAGAACCGTCTTTTTTGAGTGTCCATCTATATCCAACCATGAACACTTAAAGAACTCTGTGCATGTTTAAGGGTTCTATATAGCACCCAAAGGGTTCTTCTGTTGTGACAAGTTCGACACCATAAGAACAGAAGAATCCTGTTTGGTGCTACATAGAACCCTTTTCAAAAAGGTTCTATACAGAACCATCTACAGCACATTCTCCATCAGTCTATTGCTCCACTGAAGAGCACGATCTGTAGCTGGACAGTGTACTGGTGTTAACTGGACTGCAGCTGTTTACAGTGTACTGATGTGTGGACTGGACTGCAGCTTATTCACAGGCTGCTGCACGCTAAGAGTGGAGATTATGGAGCTGTAACTAAATGAAGAGGACTGAAGTTCTGAAACGTCGACGTGTTTTTATGCTGTGTCAGATTCTGAGAGAGACACGAGGTGAGGACAGATAATCTGCAGAGTAGAACTGCCACTCAGTAATGTCTTCCAGGTTTCTCAGACACTAGAGGGCGCTCCTGAGCAAGTCCAAAATGAATGGGTTAAGATTAATGGGTTAAACATTTTTACGCAAAATACATTCATTACCTGAACTCAGAGCAGCATAAAACATTTTAACACGGCTGTTATATTTTAAGAGCTTTTAAACTCGAGTTACAGGAGTTTAAAACAGCGCTTCATGTACATTCATGATGCCAGTGAGTGCGAACAGCCAATGAGTTGCTCCGCTCGCCAACCAATCAGCACTCGCAGTAAGCAGTAATGCCAGCCAATCAGCGCTCAGTAGCAGTAATGCTAACCAATCAGCATTGAGTAACAGTAATGCCAACCAATCAGCGCTCAGTAGCAGTAATGCTAACCAATCAGTGCTCAGTAGCAGTAATGCTACCCAATCAGTGCTCAGTAGAAGTAATGCTACCCAATCAGCACTCAGTAGCAGTAATGCTAACCAATCAGCGCTCAGTAGTAGTGATGCTAACCAATCAGCGCTCAGTAGCAGTAATGCTAACCAATCAGCGCTCAGTAGTAGTAATGCTAACCAATCAGCGCTCAGTAGTAGTAATGCTAACCAATCAGTGCTCAGTAGCAGTAATGCTAACCAATCAGTGCTCAGTAGTAGTAATGCTAACCAATCAGCGCTCAGTAGCAGTAATGCTAACCAATCAGTGCTCAGTAGTAGTAATGCTAACCAATCAGTGCTCAGTAGTAGTAATGCTAACCAATCAGCGCTCAGTAGTAGTAATGCTAACCAATCAGCGCTCAGTAGCAGTAATGCTAACCAATCAGTGCTCAGTAGTAGTAATGCTAACCAATCAGCGCTCAGTAGCAGTAATGCTAACCAATCAGTGCTCAGTAGTAGTAATGCTAACCAATCAGTGCTCAGTAGTAGTAATGCTAACCAATCAGCGCTCAGTAGCAGTAATGCTAACCAATCAGTGCTCAGTAGTAGTAATGCTAACCAATCAGTGCTCAGTAGTAGTAATGCTAACCAATCAGCGCTCAGTAGTAGTAATGCTAACCAATCAGTGCTCAGTAGCAGTGATGTAAGTAGTAAGTAAGTAAAGGTTATTTATGTAGCGCTTTTTACAACAGGTGTTGTCACAAAGCAGCTTTACAAGGAAATCAGCATTACAGAAAGAAATCCGGGTCCGAGCCCCCATGAGCGTCGCCAGTGGCGACAGTGGCAAAGAAAACTCCCTAAGAAACAGGAAGAAACCTTGAGAGGAACCAAGACTCAGAAGGGGAACCCATCCTCCTCTGGATCGACACCGGATAGGAAACATTGTTAGTATAAAGTATTATAGTACAAAAACGGGGAAAACAGGTGGAGCAAATGATTAATTTGAATAGTTCAGTTCATGCAGCAGCAACAGCAGCAGCATCAGTGGGGTCAGGTTGTGAGGGTGAGGTTTGCACAGCGTTGTACAGCAGGAGGCTCAATGTTGGTAAGCCGGTCCAGAGGGCTGGCGAGCAGTGGCACCCGATCAAGGCAGAAAAGGCAGCAGCATCAGACGCACAGGATGGGCAGCTGTTCAACTCGGCGAAGAAAAGAAAGGAAAACACACAGAGAGGAAAACACAGAGAGTCAGTTCTGTAATGAGTGACCGATCACAGGTTACAGTGTTAGCAGAGCAGCGGAGACTCTGGCAGGTATAGAACTGACAGGGAAAACTAATTACCAAAGGCTCGACTATACAAGTAAGTTTTTAGCCTAGACTTAAACACTGAGGCTGTGTCTGAGTCCCAAACATTAACAGGAAGATTATTCCAAAGCTGGGGGGCTTTGTATGAGAAGCTCCGCCCCCTGATGTAGCTTTATTAATTCTAGGTACTAATAGTGAGCAGCACCTTGTGATCTAAGTAGGCGTGATGGTTCATAGTGAGAGAGAAGTTCACTCAGGTACTGAGGGGTGAGTCGGTTTAGGCTTTGTAAGTCAGTAAGAGAATTTTATAATCAGTGCGAAATTTAACTGGTAACCAGTGTAGGGTTGATGAAACTGGGCTGATATGGTCAAACTTTCTGGTTCTAGTAAGGACTCTGGCTGCAGCGTTCTGGACTAGCTGAAGCTTGTTAAGGCTTTTGCTGGGACATCCAGCCAGCAGGGCATTACAGTAATCCAGCCTTGAAGTAATAAATGCATGAACTAACTTTTCTGCATCCTGTAGAGAGAATGCATTTCTCAATTTAGCAATATTGCGGAGATGCAGGAAGGCTGTTCTAGTAATATTAGTTATATGTGCGTCGAAGGACAGATCAGGGTCTATAATGACACCAAGGTTTTTTACAGATGAGCTTGATGCAACTGAGAAACTATTAAGTTTAAGTGTTAAATCAGACAGTTTGTTTTCTAGCAGCTTTTGGACCAAGAAGCAGGACCTCTGTTTTATCCAAGTTTAGAAGGAGAAAGTTACTCGACATCCAGTCCTTTATGTCTTTGATACAGTCTTCAATCTTGCTAAGTTTAATTCTATCATCTGGGTCGCTTGCTAAATATAACTGAGTGTCATCAGCATAGCAGTGGAAGTTTATGCCGTGTTTACTGATAATGGTGCCCAGTGGTAGCATATACAATGTGAATAATACAGGTCCTAATACTGGTAATGCTACCCAATCAGCGCTCAGTAGCAGTAATGCTAGCCCAATCAGCACTCAGTAGCAGTAATGTTAACCAATCAGCGCTCAGTAGTAGTAATGCTACCCAATCAGCGCTCAGTAGCAGTGATGTTAACCAATCAGCACTCAATAGTAGTAATGCTACCCAATCAGCACTCAGTAGCAGTAATGCTAACCAATCAGCGCTCAGTAGCAGTAATGCTAACCAATCAGTGCTCAGTAGCAGTGATGTTAACCAATCAGCACTCAGTAGTAGTAATGCTACCCAATCAGCACTCAGTAGTAGTAATGCTACCCAATCAGCGCTCAGTAGCAGTAATGCTACCCAATCAACGCTCAGTAGCAGTGATGTTAACCAGTCAGCGCTCAGTAGCAGTAATGCTACCCAATCAGCGCTCAGTATCAGTAACGCTAACCGATCAGTGAGTCTCTGCGTCCTCAGTGAAGTGAGTCCCTCTGCTGGTTAAATAAGGACGGTGCTGAAAAAGTGCTCAGAAACTGTTTTAACCTTATTCACTCCCCTCTGCCCCCCATTGAGGACTCGCTCGTGGGCGCCCTCTGGCGTTTAGGAGCCCTGTTTTTGATATAACAGGAGAAACCGGGTGGCCGGGTTCCCCCACAAAAAGCGGCTCTGAGGGTACCTCTGCGCATGCGCTGTTTTGAAACCGGTCACGGTGAGGCTCCGCCCCTGCCGGGTCTCCGTCTGCGCAGCTGTGCGCCGCTTTGACGCTTCTGAGACTCGTGCTGCTGAACTGCGTCGCGGCGGCCGGCGAGTGTTTCTCCGCCGAGTGAGTGTGAGTGTGTTGGTGTGTGTTGGTGAGTGTGAGTGTGAGTCAGTGAGCCGCAGATCGGTGTGTTTTCGGTGGAGGAACGTTTACACACTCTGGGGACGCAGACCGGCCTGACTGCGCGGGTATTCTGCGCTGCGCTTCGAGCGGATTCCGGAAACATCGCTCCGATTCCTCAGCAGGTCAGTGATCGCGCAGTCCGCCCGCTCGCCTTCCGACTCCCCCGGTCCACCTTAAGTGGTGCAGCACTTACAGTCTGGCGCCTGCGGCTGCCCCAGTAACTGCTGCACCATTTAAGGTGGAACTGGGAAATTCGAGCAAGAAGCTGGCGGCTAAGAAGCTTCAGCTCCGTGACCGCGCAGATAAACAACACAGCCGCGTTTACGGACAATCACTGCTCCGCTCGCAGCGCCGGGCTGCTAGTGCAGGCTGGCCTTTAGCCCAGCTTGGTTCAGCTGGCGTTATTAGAGAAGACGGTGCGGAGCGGTAAACACCGGACAGAGCGCCGCGTTAGAGCTGTACACTGTCTCTCTCTGTCTGTCTCTCTCTCTCTCTGTCTGTCTGTCTGTCTCTCTCTCTCTCTCTCTCATTAGCTCTGCTTTAGCTAGCTGGTGTTCAGTATTACGTCATTACGCACTACTCACCTGTGCTACGTCATGCTGTGCCCACACACGCTGCTTACCCTTCTTACGTCATGCCACAGTCCTTTCCTACGTCACGGTGTGCCTATATACTACTGGCCCGTCCTATGACACACTACTGACCACTAAATCCCGTTACTGACCTTTCCCATGCTAGACAACTGGCCGCTATATTTTGCTCTGATAACACACTACTGACCGCTAAGTCACATTACTGACCCTTTCTACATTACACTACTGACCGCTAAGTCTCGTTATAATAACACACACTACTGACCGCTAAGTCTCGTTATAATAACACACAATACTGACCGCTAAGTCACTTTACTTGCCCTTCCTATGCTGCACTAATAACCGCTAAGTCATGTTACTGACCCTTTCTATGCTGCACTAATGACCGCTAAGTCATGTTACTGACCCTTCCTATACTGCACTAATAACCGCTAAGTCATGTTACTGACCCTTTCTATGCTGCACTAATGACCGCTTAGTCATGTTACTGACCCTTTCTACGCTGCACTACTGACCGCTAAGTCCATTACTGACCCTTCCTGTGCTGCACTACTGACCGCTAAGACCTTTACTGATTTTTCCTATGCTGCATTACTGACCGCTAAGTCACGTCACTGACCCTTCCTATGCTGCACTAATGACCGCTAAGTCCTTTACTGACCCTTCCAACACTGCACTACTGACCGATAAGTCCTTTACTGACCCTTCCTATACTGCACTAATAACCGCTAAGTCATGTTACTGACCCTTCCTATGCTGCACTAATGACAGCTAAGTCACATTACTGACCCTTCCTATGCTGCACTAATGGCCGCTAAGTCACATTACTGACCCTTCCTGCGCTGCACTATACTGACCACCATGGACATCTACGTCACACTGCTGACTGCGACGCTGCACTACTAACCATTCAAACGTCACACTACTGATCATTCCTGTGTCACAGTATACCTACATCACACTACTGACCACTAGATCACATTTCTGACCCTTCCTGTTGCCCTGTACACTACATGCTTGGTGTCTGCTTCTTTAGTTTTGCACTGAAGCTAATGACGCTGGTTTAGCATGATGCTAATTGGTGGGGTATAGGCTCTGCGGGGCTCAGACTGACCGAACACAGCAGGATTATGTGTTTAAAAGGCAGAACGCTGCTGACCGTAATCCGCCGCAGGAATGAGATTACAGAGTTCTGTAAAAGAGCCGAGAACCGCGGCGCTGCGGGGAACCTGCTCAGCAGCGCCTCGGAACTCAGACTGAATCAGTTCATAAAGTTCAGAATGAGTTACAGATTAAAGCTTTAAGGGTCTTAATCAGTAACGAACCCTCTCCACTGCAGCCGGCGGAGTGCGCGTGTGGAGGAGCGGCCCAGGTGTGCACCTCAGAACTGGGAGAACAGGTACGGCCGCGCTGCAGCCAATCAGAAACACTCAGGGCTGTTTAAACTTCTCCTGTTTACAGTCCTCTTATCTCAGCCCGGCTCCCAGTCAGAACACCGGGAAGACGCAGAAACCTTGTCCAGTTAGCTGCTAGCATAATGCTAATTTACATTAGCATCCCTATGGGAATTTGTAGTGCTGTTAGCGCCAAGCTAGCAGCGTTGTACCATCACATTTGGCCCCAATTCTAGCTTAAACTCAGGTGTGTGAAGCTTGTGATAAGTAACATTTTGTCGCTGTACAATGAAAAAATACATATTTCCATTTTTTGCGATTTTTATTTTTATTTTTTTTATTATTATTATTTTTTTTACAATTTACTATTAGAACTAGGATGACTGGACGTCCCTGTTTTTGGTGGTCTGTCCCTGAAATTCCCCCATTTTATCTGTGAATTAAAAACACAGTGGAAAGTCCCAAGAAAGACCTGCAGCAGAGCAGACGGGCAGACGTCTCACGTCGTGCTTACTGACCAAGTGCTTACCTGCTGTTTACTGACCACTTCTGCCTCTCGCTCGCCTAGTTTTAGAGAACACTCCACCATCACAAGTGTCCACAACCTCACCACACACGCCTTTTCAGGACTCTAGGTGACCCAGGGGTTAAAGCAGGGGTGGAGTTACGGGACTGAATCGCTCTACCAGCTGATCGGTGGCTCTGATTTGTTCAGACAGACAGTCTACTTGAATGAAGCCACCATGAGATACAAACAGAGCATCGTTTTAATCTGAGTCACTTTTTCAGCCTCCATATCTGACATATGGCACATGCTGATCAGCGTCTCTGTCTGTCCAGAACTGGAGCTGCCCAGGGGTCAGTTTAGGGTCTACTGGGCTGCTCGTCTCTTTTACTGTCAGAATATTTAATATGAATATGAATTATGGGCTCAATACAGCCACTGAGTCATTAGTGGTAAATGTGTCTCTGCCTCATCTCTGCCTGAGACGCTAGACTTACTGACTTTTGAGGCCCTTTTTACTGAGCGACAAATCTCATGAGGGGGGAAAGCAAGAAATATGGGACTTTTATAGGACTATTGTAATGTATTTCCATGCATGTTGACCATTTTTTTTATTGATTACTCACCATGGTAGCTACTGTATGATTTTCTTTTTTTGAATTTTATTCTTATTAGGTTTTCACAGAGTAATAATAACAATAACTGTTCACCAAATCAATCCTCACAGAATTCAGAACTTGACAAGCTACCTGGGGGAACAGAATAAACAAGTATCAAACACATAAATAAGTAGAGAGAGAAAGAAAGATAAAGGAGAGATTTTGACCTACAACACAGGTCACATCACTTTGTCCAAGTATAGCCACAGAGGTGTCCAAATCTTCCAGATTTTTTATGCATATCATGCATTAATTTCTCCAGAGGAAGTAACTTTGCTACCTGTATGAGCCACATGTTCACCTCTGCCTTAGACCATAGCAATAATATAATTTTTTGGCCAGGTAAGTGAGAATATTACTGTATGATTTTTTTCACATGGTTTACAAAGTGACTTAGTTAGTGTCCAGTTTTATCAGTTGGCCTTTACTGTAGTTTATTACAGTGCAGCAGTTATCATGGTCAAAATACAGGAAACTGGAACTGCCTCCCTTTTTTATTTCATAGATAAAAACATTGGATATTTTAGTGATATATTGACCACCGAACTGGAAACGTCCCTAGTTTTCATTTCAGAAACCTGGTCACCTTAATTTGAACACAGCAGCCGTCCTTTATGTTATGTGTGAATTCTGTCATGAACAGACCAATAAAAATGCTCCACAATTTCTTGGACGTATATCTTGGTCATGCTGGTAGTCCAGCTAAATGATGAGACTGAAATAAGGACACACCCTGGGCTGGTCAGTCTGGCTGCATTTCTCAGATATTTTTAGAATAGCTGGTAGCTCAGGGCTAGAAAACTCACCTGTGATTTTGTTGACCGGGACGGAGAACCCACCGCCGTAACCCATGTTCTCTCTGTGTGTCTGTGTCTGTGCAGGTGTGGCCCGGCCGCGGTGAGGGTGAGCGGCTGTTGGAGGCAGATCGGGGCGTGTTGGGGGGGTCATGAGCGGGCAGGCGGGGGCAAGGGGGCGGCGGGGAGGCCGGGGGGAGCAGGGCATGGACTCGGCCTGCTGGCTGTCTCCCGCGGTCCTGCGGCGGCTCATCGAGCTGCCCGCCCCGGTGCTGTCCCGGCACCAGCTGAAGCGTCTGGAGGAGCACCGCTACAGCAGTGCCGGCAGGTCCCTGCTGGAGCCCATCATGCAGCGCTACTGGGAGTGGCTGGTGTGCCACATGCCCCCGTGGATCGCTCCCAACCTCATCACCGTCGTTGGCCTGGCAACAAACATCTTCACCACACTGGTGCTGGTCTACTACTGCCCCACTGCCACTGAACAGGTACAGAACTGATTCAGACAGAACATACATTCATACAGGCACATACTGGATTACTGATTCATTCTGGACACACTGAGCTTTACTGATTCACATAGAGCTTTACTGATTCATTTCAAACACATAGAGCTTCACTGATTCGTTCTGAACACATAGAGCTTTACTGACTCTGATAGAGCTTTAGTGATTTATAATGAACCGACAGTCATGTCTCGCCCTCTCTCTCACTGGTTTCTCTCTCTCTGTCTTTCTCTCACTCTGTCTCTCCTCCTTGTCTGTTGTTTTTCTCTCTCTCTGTTGCTTTCTCTCTCTCTCTCTCTCTCTCTCTCTCTCTCTCTCTGTGTAGTGGTATGCCCATTAGACAGTGTAACGGCAGGTTGTGGCATGGTTCTGCGATGTTTGTCGTCTAGAACTTGTTTTTTGGTCTAAAAATAGCCGGGTGGTCAGGACTCCCACCTTTGCCTCTGTGCTGGCGGGACAAAAGCAGGAGCAGCGCTCATTTCAGGAGGAACTAAAGGAAACAGAGTGTGTTCAGACACGTCACAGTTTGGGTGAATTAGCGTCTCCTTCAGCACAAACACAGCCTGCTGCTCTCTGCGTTACGGAGTGTGTGCTGAGCTCTGTTCGTGTGAGACGTTAAACTGGGGGAATTCCAGTCTCAACCACTGCTGCTCTGTTTCCGCCTCTTTCTGTAGTTTAGGGTCACTGTCAGTCTGGAGAAACCAGATTTTTTTAGACCCAGTTCATACATACAGACTAAACTGCAAAACCTGTTTTAAATTTGTAGTGTTAAAATGTCACAAAAACCACCCATTAAGCTCCACCCACCCAGCCTACAGCAGTTTAGCTCCACCCACTCAGCCTACAGCTAGTTTAGCTCCACCCACCCAGCCTACAGCAGTTTAGCTCCACCCACAGCTACAGCAGTTTAGCTCCACCCACCCAGCCTACAGCAGTTTAGCTCCACCCATTCAGCCTACAGCAGTTTAGCCCCGCCCATTCAGCCTACAGTAGTTTAGCTCCACCCACCCAGCCTACAGCAGTTTAGCTCCACCCATTAAACCTACAGCAGTTCAGCCCCGCCCTTTCAGCCTCCAAAAAGCTTTGTGTTTTCATCATTTATTTTTCACGACTGATCAGACTGTGCATTGATTAATTTAAGAATGATCAGTCTGAGTCGTGGTGATGTCCGAGTTGTGTAGCGAGGTGTGTGTTGTGTGTGCAGGCTCCGCTGTGGGCGTACCTGATGTGTGCGGTCGGCCTGTTTGTCTATCAGTCTCTGGACGCCATAGATGGGAAGCAGGCGAGGCGCACTAACAGCAGCTCACCACTGGGGGAGCTGTTCGACCATGGCTGCGACTCGCTCTCCACAGGTAACCACAAAAACACCACATCACACTGTTAACGAACACGCAGCGTCAGGGAATCTGTAGTGAGGACAACTGACCATCACAGACGCCCTCCGGGTCGGTCAGTCGATGTATATTACTGTACATGTACTTTTAACCCTTTTAGATGCTTAAATAAACCTCATTTTTAGCTTAACAGTGGCTTATTATTCTGGGATGTCCCTTTATTTCTTAATAAGAACTGTTTTAAACAACCTAAAGTAACTAATCTAGTAACATCTGCTGGAATTTGGAAAATATATTCAGTACCAGCTTCGCCGCGTCTTGTTTGGAGACCGTGGCGTTGTCTGATTCCGCTGAGCGAGTCAGGCGGTACGAGAGGACACAGAAGTGCTCTGGTGTCCATGCTAGGCTAATGCTAACCTCAAAAGTCCAGCCGTCCCTTTATGTGCGTTGCCTCCAAAACAAAGTCGACTGCTTCAGATGTTGCGGACTAGACGGCGGGAGGCGATCGAGGGTCTGCTCCATTTTCATTTTCATTTGAAAGGTGACCGAAACCTCCCTGACTCAGACACTCAGCTAAACGGGATAACGTTAGCGTGGTCTGTGGTCAAGTGTCTCTCTCTGTCTCTCTCTCTCTGTCTCTCTCTCTCTCTCACTCTCTCTCTCTCTCCCTGCAGTCTTCGTGGTTCTGGGTACCAGTATTGCAGTCCAGTTGGGGACGAATCCAGACTGGATGTTCTTCTGCTGTTTTGCGGGGATGTTTATGTTCTACTGTGCGCACTGGCAGACCTACGTCTCCGGCACTCTGCGCTTCGGCATGTGAGTCCTGCTCTGAGCGCTCGCCACAGGACGTTACCCTGCATTTACATTTACATTTACATTCAAATTTACATTTAAATTTACATTTACATTTAAGTCTTGCAGCAGACACTGCAGAAGGGCTTTGTTCTTCACCTGGGAAAATTTGGGCTGTGTGCAGAACCTCAAACACCACGTCAGAACGGTTCACCACTGTTAACAGTACAGGGCATATAAAATATATAGCGTAGCGTCGTACGCGGTTTTGTCAGAAGTCTAAAGCTACACTGGCAGAGCCAGAAAACAGTGTAAGACAGCAATAAGCAGATACACAGAACTCAGCGTTACAGCAGTTTTTGGTTTGTTCATGTTTTTTAAGAAAGTGCGCGACTAGTGTCCGTTTCAGCTCGCTAAAGAACTTTTATTTTGAAATAAATGAGTGACTGTGTGACTGGCAACCTGCCCAGGGTGTTTCCTGCCTTCCAACCAATGACCGCTGGGAAAGGCTATAGTTCACCCCCGACCCTGAAGGATAAGCGGCTTAGAAAATGTGTGTGTGTGTGTGTGAGTGACTGTGTGTGTGTGTGTGTGTGTGTGTGTGTGAGTGACTGTGTGTGTGTGTGTGAGTGACTGTGTGGCTGTGTTAAGGCCATCTGCTGGACTGAAGGGCAGAGTGGACACGGTCAGTGTGTCAGGGTAAACTGTGGCTCTTTGGTCAGCCAAACAAACAGAGTCCACTCAGTAAACTTGAACCCTCCTCGCTTTAGGAGGAGACACTGAGGCGGCCTCGTTTGTTTGGGAGCTCTTGTTGTCTTTTTGGGACTTTTAACCGATCTTGGACTAAAACCCTTTTGCTCTGAGTGACTCTAAACCTTAATTATGATTTTATTAAAACTAATGACTGAACATTCCATTTTGTCACTACCAAAACAGTCATAACTCTACCAAACTGTACAAAATGTTTCAGTAGTGACTGTTTCAGTGACAGTTTTAGCTCATTTTGAGCTCAAAAACCCAGCAAACACAGCTTTGAACAGCTGTTCACACAGAAAATCATGATATTTTTCATTAAAACACTAAAAACTTACTTACTTGCCAAAAATTTGTTTTGGAGTTGACAATTCTTAATGTTACACACTGATTTTGACATGAAAATAAGGGACAGCATTTTTAAAATAAAGCTTTTTTATTTATAAATTAAACTAAAATTTGAACTAAAATAAAATTGAATAAATTAAATCTAAAAATATCAACTTCACTTTAAAAGATACCAAAAAGAACCTCATTAAAACAGCACTAAAAATGTAAAAATTACTTTCCCAGGTGTAAATTTAGGGGTTAGTGTTTTAGACTCCTCCCAATAGAATGTACCCTATAAATGATGACTGTGTATATATTTAGATTATTACTGTCTGATTAATGTCTTGGGTTTAAATAGATCAGAACACAATCACTGTAAATATCTAAGATCTAAATACGTCATTATTTTTATTTATTTATTTATTTATTTCAGACCAGTCGGAGTTTATCAGATGTTTGAGCGTAATCTATAAGTATAAACTGATCAGAGACTCAATTTGAACAGACTCCTCCAACAGCCAGTGAGAACTGAGAGCATGAAAGAAGAAAATACAGCAAGTAAACAAGAAAAATGGAGAAAAGTCTCTCATGTGTGGAGCGAAGAGTTTAAGGCACAATTGAGTTTATGTACATTTAAAACTCTAAAAATACCAACTGATCACATTTTTAATCCATGATCCTCAGTTAAACATGTTTACCTGCTGCTTCTTTACTGTTTCAGCGCAAACGGCTGAGAAAACAGCAGCAGCAGCTCCACGTTTGTTTATCCGCGTCTCCTGATAACAGGAGAACGCGAGAGTTCAGTGAGTTCAGTTCAGCAGCAGCTTACAGGCTGTGCAGCGCCTGATCCTCAGTATTTCAGTCGCCCAGAACGTCTGCAGAAACCAGACTGATAGTGTGAGATACCCAGTCTGTCTTACTCTGTTGGGACTTTAAAGGTTGAGTAGTGTGTCTGAGGCTTTACTGACACCTTATAGTCTTAACGTGTCACAACAAACATATTTCACTGCTCGTATCTCCATTTTTGTTGTTTTTCAGTTTTTTACATAATTTGACAAATCCTTTTGTGCTTTACATTGTGTGTAAATTTCATGATGAATGGACCAAAAGAAACGACCCAGAATGAGCTGGAAAAAAGTCTGGTTCCATTGACTCACATTAAAAGTAAAGTAAGGTTTTTCCTCCTCCTGTTAAGTTACCATTTTGGAGACAAGGTTTTGTTTCGACAGTGGCGAAAAAACATATACACAAATAAACGAAAACCACTTTACGGCCCCTTTTCACTCCATTGTAATCAGTGGCGGACCCCCTGCACTTTCAGCTCTTCCCCACCGATTCAGCTCAGGTGCCTCAGGTCATTATCAAGCCTCTTTGAGCTTAGTATCTATAGGGGGCGCTGTTTTCATGCTCTGTCTTTCCACGCTGGACAGATTTGACATCACCGAGCTGCAGCTCAGTCTGGCTCTGCTGCACACCTTCACCGCCACAGTCGGGCCCACGTTTTGGAACCTAACGGTAAAAACGAGCACCGTGCAGCCAATCACGGCTGCCCTGACAGCAGCAGCCAACCAGTCAGCTCCCTGCTTTCCCTGCACGGCATGAATAACGGATCAAAGTTTGTGCATATGGTCGTCACAGAATCTGGTCAAAAATCGAATTTAGTTCATTTTTAATTACTTGATTATTAATCGCTGTATAGTAAAAGAGAATTTCATCATAAACAAAAAGCTTCCATAATTCAGTGGTTGAGATGTAAATGTCACAGAATCTGGTGAAAAATTTAACTGATTAATGGATTAATTTATTATTAATCATCATTTATTAAAGGGGAATTTCTGCTTTTTTAAAATTCAGTGTGTGAGATGTGAACAGAGTGATCCAGAGTGGTTTGGTGTGAAACGGTTCAGATGTCTTTACAGTGGTGGTGATAGGAACCAGGGGTCGCCATGACTACAACACAGATATAGACATTTTATTTACCATCCAGAACCACCAGTGAACCTACACGAGTCTTCTGAGTCTATATGGAATGTTGATGATGGAAAATAGTGGAAAATCTGAAATAATAAGTTTTCTTTGGGGACTATTTTGCCTCACAGTGCCCTGCATGTATCCCTCCACCATGAATGGAGTTTAAGTTCTCTAAACTATCATAAAACAGTGTCTCAGTCATCAGGCAGTGAATTCATAACCATTTCATGTAGGAACTTTCTGTGAGGAGCTTTTAGAGGTGGACGTCTGGTTCCTATCACCACCACTGTGAACAGTTCTGACTAAGTAAGTTTCTCTAGAAACCAAACCTCTCTGAACGGCTCTGTTTACGTCAGAACTCAGTGTAATTCCCCTTTAATTGTAAACATTAGTGATGTAATGCTGTAGTAATTTGCCAGATGAGGACGAGGTTCACGATCGCTGAGCTGAGGTCTGCGAGTCTCCAGGCTACGAATTCAGTCTGTATGTTTCTGTTCATTTGAATAAAAACCTTTAATTAGTGGGTCTTAATTAAAGGCTTGTGCGTCTCTGATTGGCTGCCTGTGAGACAGTGTGATTACTGCTGTAACTAACCTGCTCTCTCCTCTCTCCGCCCCGCTCAGCATTGATGTGACTGAAGTGCAGATCTTCATTATTATCATGTATTTGCTGGCTGCTGTGGGCGGATCTGCTTTCTGGCAGGCTCTGGTAATTCAGAGATTCAACACTGATTATCAAACCACACCTCAGATCACGGCAGCGGCTGCGTTTACATGCAGAGATCAAACGATCTGACTCTGAACACCGACTCTGAATGAACTGTGAACCCGGCAGTCTGAGGGAAGATCTACAGACGGCTGTTTTAGCTTAGAACCAGCGATTTTTCATCAGCGCAAACTGAACTGTCGCATGCAATAAGGTGAAAATGTACGCTCTCAATTGAAAAATTAAATCTGCACATGTAACAATTCAGTTTATCTTCAATTAAAATGCACTAATTAGAAATTCAACATGTTAAAATGTTCATACTGGTAAACATTGGCTCCCCCATTAAAATAAACGAGGGAAAGTCATGAGTTATCATTACTGAGAACTGAAATCGTATGTGCTGAAATCCTGCTCTTTTTAGCAAATTTTCAAAAATTTAGATTTTAGAGTTTGTTGTTTTCTCATCAAATTTTATTTCTAATCGCATTAAAAATGTTATTACTTGTTCAAACCTAATTTCTCTAATTAAAAACTGGATTAAAAGTTAAAACAGCTTACCATCCATCTGAATGTACAGAGGCGCGTTACTATAGCAACGAGAGTCATTTATCCTCTTCTGATTTTGAGCTTTGTAATACTTTTATTTTTAATTTGCTTGAATCTCTTAATGATTTTAACCTCTTCAACTCTTTAACACCACCGATGCTTCCAAAACGCACTTCGTCATATTGTTTACTTCATAACTTTCATATTTCATAAGCTACATTCTAAAGGTGGGGGTCGTATGAGAGCTGTAACTGTCTTCTGTCCAGTCAAATAGATGGGTGATGTCATTTTAAACCCTTATAATAAAAGAAGCTGAACTCACAGTTTTTTTTTTTACTGAAAGTCGACCCATTTTTCCACAAATCTGAGCTATAAACTATAAACAGATGGCGTCTCTTCAGTGATCTGATCTGTAAACATTATTTTTATAAAATAATACAAAGAGCGTCTAAGATTTTTGGCTTTCAGCAGTAAATTGTAAGCATAGAGCAATATGTGTATCATAAAACACGTTCTGTTAATTTGAGGGGAGCTTTTACAAAAAATAAATAAATGAATAATAATTTATATTTATTTCATGCAGTTACTGAATAATTTGCCTTACGATTTGGTCATGTAAATTCAGATGGACAAACCAAAATACACCCTGGAGAATAAGAGGTTAAAAGTCTTTTAAAGCAATTTAAAGTTTATTTTCTCAGTGGGTAAATTTTTTGTATGCGGATTCTGACAAAGAGATTCAGAAGTTAATGTTGTCATTATTCTCCCGTTTAACGGATCACTAAAGCTGTTTTGATGGGACAAAAATGTGTTGTACAGAAATTTCGTTTAGACGACTCTGTTCTGACTGTTAAACTGAAGGTGTTTTATTGAGCTACTAGTTGATTCAGATTATTAAGCTGCATGTAAACACAGCCGTGAACTAATAGACTGTTATTAACAGTGATGTAATTTGCTTTGTGATGTTGCTGTGTTGTGTTGATTGCTAATATTAACTTAGAACTGCTTTAAATTCTGTGATTTTGTAGTGAACGTATATCTGCATCACCACTCCATCGTATTTTTATTTGACTGTTATTGTTTTGTAATTAAATTCTGGAAGATTTGTGGAGTTTTGGTGTGATGCAGTCAAACTCTTCCCTTTAACAGATCCCAGTATTAAACATCCAAATGAAAATAGTCCCGGCGCTCTGCACGTTTGTCGGAGCCGTTATTTCCTGCACAAATTACTTCAGAGTCATATTCACAGGAGGAGTCGGCAAAAACGGATCCACAATAGCGGTGAGTGTCTTTACTGAACACTGTTTACTGTCCCATAGTATATAATTAAAACATTTATCAGTGTTTTTCAGCCCCAGCAATGTATGTTTTGGTTTTCTCTACATTTATAAGGAAAAGGTAACAATAACAGAACTTTTTTTAAAAAAAAAGTTTACAGTGGTGCTGATAGGAACCAGGGGTCACCATGACAACACAAATATAGATATTTTATTTACTATCCAGAACCACCAGTGAACCTACACGAGTCTTCTGAGTTTATATGGAATGTTGATGATGGAAAATAGTGGAAAATCTGAAATAATACGTTTTCTTTGGGGACTATTTTGCCTCACAGCGCCCTGCATGTATCCCTCCACCATGAATGGAGTTTAAGTTCTCAAAACTATCATAAAACAGTGTCTCAGTCATCAGGCAGTGAATTCATAACCATTTCATGTAGGAACTTTCTGTGAGGGAGCTTTTAGAGGGGGACGTCTGGTTCCTATCACCACCACTGTGAACAGTTCTGACTCGGTCAGTTTATCTAGAACAGAGCGTTTCACACCAAACCGCTCTGATTACATCTTAACATTTATGCAGAATTTTTGAATTCTCCTTTAAGCAAATGGTTCTTTGAGTTGTCTTGGAAGAACCTTTGAAGAACCCACTTTGTATACTGTAATACACCTGATTCAGGAGCAACACTAAACCATGCAGTGCAGTTGAATGTGGTTGAATGACTGTCGTGGTTGTTGATACCTTTTCATTCTTTTCTTTTTCCTTTAGGGAACGAGTGTTTTATCTCCGGTCCTGCACATAGGCTCTGTTATAGTGCTGGCTATGATGATTTATAAGAAATCTGCTATCCAGCTGTTTGAGAAACACCCCTGTCTTTATATTCTGGCTTTTGGCTTCGTTTCTGCCAAAATAACCAACAAATTAGTGGTGAGTAGAGCTTAAAATGATAGTTTGGATAAAATTACTCAGTTTTCCCAAACTTATCTAAAGTGGAGTTGATTAGTGAAGACGTGTTTGGTGAGATGGGGCGGCGCTAACTGCATGCCTAAAATTAAAAAGCGGGCCTATGCTTGCCTCAAACCGTGTGGAGGTGTTCTGGGGCTGAGCGATTAACTAAATTTTAATTTCAATTATGAATTTGGCTTCTAACGATTATGAAAGCAAAATAATTGAGCTAAAACAATGATTGCGCCACATCCTGTTCCGTAATGATGCCCTCGTTTTGTCTTGTGTTATAAACCCAGCTTTTTTTTTTGTTTGTTTTTCACTAGAACTATATTTGACGTTCAGTTTTTTTAATTAAGTTCAGTAAACACATGAGGTCAGTGAGAACTGAGCAGAACACACACTCCGCTCCTCTGGTCCGCAGGCGAAGGTTCGGCCTTTTTAGCCGCCTTTTTTGGTCAGTTTCTTGCATTTTTCTCCCTCAAAAACATCAACAAACTTTTGTTACTTGATAAAAGCTCCTCATTGTTCCTGTTAGACTGATTTGAGCACCATAAACAATGCAAACCACAGCCGTTCTGAGAGCTTGTGACAGCTTCCTGTGTAGAAAATCACTTCCTGCCCTCCATCTGCAGCTCACACCACAGCAGCGCAGTGATGTGACGTCATACGCAAACAGGCTATTTGACTGTATAGAAATTGGAATCAGAGCTGGACATAAAAGCCTTGATTGGTCGTCTGTAGTTTTCAAAGTCAGATCTGCGCTTGTTTTTTCGGCCCGTGTAGTTTCTGTCCCTCTGCTGTCGCCCTTATTTAAATCCCTGCTGTTTTACTTTGATGTGTTTTTCTAATTTATCATGTTATGAATGTCTGATTTTACTTTAATGTATTTTTCTAGTTTATCATGTTATGAATGTCTGATTTTACTTTAATGTATTTTTCTAGTTTATCATGTTATGAATGTCTGATTTTACTTTAATGTATTTTTCTAGTTTATCATGTCGTGAATGTCTGATTTTACTTCGTGTTTTTCTAGTTTATCATGTTATGAATGTCTGATTTTACTTTAATGTATTTTTCTAGTTTATCGTGTTATGAATGTCTGATTTTATTTTAATGTGTTTTTCTAGTTTATCATGTTATGAATGTCTGATTTTATTTTAATGTGTTTTTCTAGTTTATCATGTTATGAATGTCTGATTTTATTTTAATGTGTTTTTCTAGTTTATCATGTTATGAATGTCTGATTTTATTTTAATGTGTTTTTCTAGTTTATCATGTTATGAATGTCTGATTTTATTTTAATGTGTTTTTCTAGTTTATCATGTTGTGAATGTCTGATTTTACTTTGTGTTTTTCTAGTTTATCATGTTATGAATGTCTGATTCTGTCCTAACAGGTTGCTCATATGACAAAAAGTGAAATGCATCTTCACGACGTGGCGTTTCTGGGTCCTGGGCTTCTTTTCCTGAATCAGTATTTCAACAGTTTTATTGATGAGTACCTGGTGCTCTGGATCGCACTGGTAAGATTAACTGTCACCAGATTCTGATCTATAAATTAGGGCTGGCCGACGACCAAAACGATACGTTTTCTTGCTACAAAATCTCAAATACCGATCATGTTGCCAAACAAGTGCAATAGTGAGATCCTGCTAGTGTGGGTCCAGTCCGGTTTCCTTCCTTTCAGTGACACAGACAAAAGATACTGGAGTGCTAATAGCACCCCCTGGTGGAGAATCTTCCAGTGTAAGTGAATTTAAACCAGAAAAGACATTTAGCATAAAGTAAATAAACATTTCACTGTCAGTACAGCGAAGGCTCTCTGGAATTCAGATATACGGATCTGTCAAATCATGTGGGAAATAGGAACGTTAGTCAGAAAGCATCTTCCTGATGTTTATTATTATTATTTAGGGTTTTACATTCAGGTGAAGTTTGACAGTGTGTTTGGTGTTTGGATGCCTACAGCATGTGTCCCATATCACCTCACATAACATTAGCATAGATATACGTATTTGACCACTTAAAGAAGAGAAAGTACAACGTATCGACGCTGATGTTATTTCTCAAGCTGTCTAAAATGAAATTCGGCCTGTTTAGTTCTCCATCCACTCTCTAAACCAACGGCGGCAAATATCATTAACGGTCATCGTCGATATCGGGTCACATCGCCCAGCCCTAATCGATACAGTAACACATTTTAATTGAAGTTTGTGGTAATAAATTGACTTACTGATTAATCTTTTTTAACATTTTGTATGTGACATTAACACTGAAATGAAAGTAAGAACTGTGTTAATCAGTTGTAACTGTCTGATTGACGGTTCTGCCACTGTTATTTGTGATTGACAGATTCTGCTGTTAATTGTGACTGATTGACAGGTGCTGTTGTTAATTGTGACTGACAGGTGCTGTTGTTAATTGTGATTGACTGATTGACAGATGCTGTTGGTAACTCTAACTGATTAATAGGTGCTGTCGTTAATTGTGAAAGACTGATTGACAGGTGCTGTCAATAACTGTAATTATTTGATTGACAGGTGCTGTTAATTGCGACTGACAGGTGCTGTTATTAACTGTGACTGATTGACGTGCTGTTGTTAATTGTGACTGATTGACAGGTGCGGTTAATTGTGACCATTTGATTGACAGGTGCTGTTGTTAACTGTGACCGTTTGATTGACAGGTGCTGTCGTTGTTTGACCTGGTGCGCTACTGTGTGAGCGTATGTAATCAGATTGCGTCGCATCTTCATATCTTCGTCTTTAAAATCAAACCCCCGACGCTGGGAGCGGCTCAGTGACGGACGGCTGCTGCGCCGACTCTGTTCGAGTGTCCAAAGACGAATCAGATTGAACGATTAGAGATTTATAGAAGAGGTAATTATAAATTCCTGTTCGTGTTGGTCTCGGTTTGTGGGCGGGTTCGTTACTGAGAGCTAATGAAGGCGAGTGTCTGCTTTATTTAAATTATTACTTAAGAAACTAATGCAATCTCTCTGTTTCCTTCACGAGAGGCGGGTGAACAGTGTAATAACAGGTGCTAATATCTCCCACTCGTTTCTGTGAGAAGACTTTAGGTACTTCCTTTCAATAACCGTGAAACCAGTGAAGACGCTTAAAACGGTGGGAAAGTGTTTGAATATGTTACATTATTCTTTAATCGTTTGTTCATTTGCTTTAACAGGCGTTCACCTCTTACTCTCAGTACTGCATGCCTTGTCTTTTTTAATCCTGCTTATCAAGTTTCTCATTTAATTCAAGTGTAAAAAAGTCCAAATGAATAATGACTGTCACGGATCGCTCGGATCGCTGCTGCTACCAACGTATTAAACATTGTTTGTAAATCATATTTAGTTTCATGAAGACTGTTTTGCTTTGCAGTAATATCATCTCTGACTTTGTGGGACTGTACAAAACAATTTTCAGCGTTTAAAGAATCTGTGCGCGTTTTATTTTTACTGCTAATCCTGGTTAAGACTGTATCGCTTAAGATTTTTCAGCTTGATCCCTGTCTGCTGTGTCTGTGTCGTACAGTCGATTATTACAGACGATAACTTCAGCACGTTTATCTGAACTCAGACAACAGCAGGAAAAGTGCTGAATCTAAACTCAGTTGTAATAGAAGTCAATGGGCAGATGCTGATTTCCGCGAGTTCTAAACTCCAGCCGTTCTAGCAGTGCAGGTTTTGGATGAGACCGACTGAGAGGCTCACCAAAACTGTTATCAAGTTCTCAACACTTAGAACAGTATTTAAACAAAAATAATAATAATAATAAATCTGGTTAATATTCAAAATTGCAGGATCAGTGTTTTCAGTCAATCAGTAATAAAATCCAGTCTAGTTGCAGAAAAATGTATAAACAGATATAAAACGTAGTAATCTGTTCGTCCTGAACAACATAACAGGTTCTAGTCAGTAGAACACTACTGCAGATGAAAACGAAGAAATGTTGAAGAACCCATATCACATAAAATTCTTTCTCTTTTTAAAGTGTGATGTAGTACACTCTTAAAAAAGACGGTTCTTCGAGGGTTCTTTAGCGAGGAAAATGGTCCTACATAGAACCATGAACACTCAAAGAATTCTTCAGATTGCTGAATAATGTGTTGTATAAGGTTCTATAAGGAACCCTTTTTGAAAAACGTTCTAAATAGCACGAAAAAGGGTTCCACTATTGTTACAAGCCCTTTTGTATAGAACCCTTTTGTGTCGTTGAAACGTTTTTCTGTGATGTCTCAAAAACGAACAGATTTGCATATATGCGCTTACTCAGTGTACATTTAGCTCCGCCCATTTATGTTGAAGTTACAAGGAGCATTTCAGCCCAGACTGCCTTCTAAATGAGGGACAGCCAATCAGCACAGAGCTCACTTACATATATCAGTCTTAAAGGCACAGTAACAGAAACAGACTGTTTAATTCTAGGAGCTAAACAGAGGCTATATAACGGTCACGATGTTTTTGGCGTATAAAACCTATTGGCGTATAAGACATATTGTCGCTGTCGGAACAAAACCTCACATCTCCAATACCTCAACTTTGCAGGAGAAAGAAAAGATGTTCTTGACTTGTAATGGAAGTCAATGTAACCAGACTTTTTTGGACTATTTCTGTTGGTCCATTCATCATGAAATTTTAATACAATGCAAAGAGTTTTCAAATAATGCAAAATAAAAAAAATCACAATAATGGAGAAGGTTTTTGTGTGACAGCGACAAGATATGTTATACGGAAAAGAAGAAAAGTGTAGGATACAGGTCCTTTAAGTGTGTCCAGAATGATGAACAGAGCTGTGGGAGATTCTAAACTGAGGCTGAACTAAGAAAGCTGTGGATTTCTAATAAATTTAATATCTAGAATTCATTATACTTCAAATGTGGAGATCAAATTCTTGAGGCTTGTTCACAGAATTTTTAATATGTCAAATAAAATATTTAAAAACACCTCTTAATGAATAGTCTGTAATATTTAAATCTGTCACCCCCAGAAGAACCAGTTCTGTCTCTGAGAACCAGTTAATATACAGATTTACAGCTTCATTCATATTTTATACAAATATATGTTTCGCATAAACGTTTAATGGCTGAATTCAGCGTCTGCCCACTGACTTCCATGATGAGTGACTTTAGAGTCAGTGAGTTTTCTGTTGTTCTTTATGTTCAGGGAAACATTTCGAAGTTATTGTTTGCATTAATCGACCAGACAATTCAGATACAGCAGACAGAGACCAGGATAAAAAAGCACTGAAGTATCCCTTTAAAGGGCAATTCCACCCATTTTCAAAATTCCCCCATAACTCAGTGTGTGAAGTATAAACAGAGAGATTCAGAGTGGTTTGGTGTGAAATGGTTCAGATGTCTTTACAGTGGTGGTGATAGGAACCAGGGGTCGCCATGACTGCAACACAAATATAGACATTTTATTTACTATCCAGAACCACCAGTGAACCTACACGAGTCTTCTGAGTTTATATGGAATGTTGATGATGGAAAATAGTGGAAAATCTGAAATAATACGTTTTCTTTGGGGACTATTTTGCCTCACAGCGCCCTGCATGTATCCCTCCACCATGAATGGAGTTTAAGGCCAAAATCTTCTCAAAACTACCATAAAACCAAAACCACTCAGAAAGACTTTATTTAATTATGCAGAAATTGTAAATAAATTTGGTGGAATTCCCCTTTGAACTTATTTCAGCTTAATCAGCAGTTCTTCTTTCTCCCTCTTTATTTTCTGAATGTATTCTGGTGTCATGTTTATTGTATTAGTGGAAATGAGAAATGCACATCATTCATTTCCACTTTTTCCTTATATATAAAGCTCAAGATGCTCCTCCAAAAACATTTTACAGTAAAAAAAACACATTATCCTTAATGTTCACTGTTTTTCTGCTTTCTGCTTATTTATCAGCTATTGTTGCTGTTTTAGCACATACAGTATTATTGTAAAGGACTGTTTTATTTAATGCTGAGATGTTAATGTTCCTCTGTTGCTTTGCATTCTGTGCCTAAACCACTGTGTTGCATTCAGCCTACAACTCTTGAATGGAATAAAAAAAGAGAGAAAAACAATTAAAATGCCACCTATTGACTCGTACTATTAACATGAGGTCAAATTAAAGGATACTATAACGTTTTTCAGCCTCTTCCCCATCTGCTGTATCTGCAGGGTACAGTCCGTCACCACAGACAACAACTTTAATATGTTTCCTGGAACTTCAGAACAGCCAGAAAACATGAAAACTTAACATTTGCTTATAATGGAAGTCAATGGGCAGATGCTGAATTCTGTCATTAAACGTCTGAATTAAGTGACTACATAATGTGAAACTGAAACTGTTGGACTCAGCAGTACCGCTGCTTTTGCATCTGCCCACTGACGTCTATCATAAGCTATTTTCTATTCTAATTTCAGGAAAACATGTTGGAATTACTGTTTATTCAGTGCTACACAGCAGATGGAGGTTAGGCTGAAAAAGACTGACCTCTGAGGACACGCTGCCATTCTGAAGTTCCCATTAGCATCCGTTAGCATTAGCATCCTAGTCTAAACGGCTTTTCGTAATTCGGTTCATAATTCATAATGCGTTCCAAAGCTGATACGTTTGCCTTCCGTACTTTTTCCCCCTTAAATGTCGCTGTTATTAAGGTTGTGAGGTTGTTAAGTAGGTAAAATAAGAATTTTGCGACAAACGTTGCAACAGTTCTGCTACTGAGCTGAACTTAACTGACCTCTTCAAAAGACCCTACACAGTCCAGCAGGCTCTGTCCAGTACGACAGCGTTTTAGGGCCACTATAAATACAATAATTCGAGAAAAAATCTTATTTTTTAGAATAAAATTGTAATAATTTGAGAATGAAGTCATAATATTTTGAGAATAAAGTTGTAGAATTACGACAATAAGTGGGATATTACCAGGAAAAGCTGCAATATTATGGCCAAAAGGACGGCAGCACCTCCTCCTGTTAAAATGAGGGACGTTGAGGAGTTGGTGGAGATATACTTTCATATCGATTTCACCCATAAAGAAATACTCAGTCTCTGCACATCAGTGTTATTAGTATAAGAAACGGCTGAGCAGGAAACTGTGTTTATTTAGAATAAAGAGCCAGACGGACTCGGAGGAAACCGTCTCTATTGTTGAAGGCGAATCGCAGGCAGTGGCGTCTACACGACTATCGCTCGTTAGCCTTGTAGACGGCTGTGCCTTTCGAAGAGGGCATATAGTTTCACAGGAGACAGAACTATAATCAGAATGATCGATCCTGAAGGAGAGAGTGGAACCCCGAGGTGCTCAGCGTTTTCGTTGTCGCCAGTACGGCAACCGAGACCCCACAATTAGCCCACTTTATCCCCCAAATATCATTTGTAAATTTATGACTTTATACTAGAAATTTTACGACTTTATTCTGGAAGTCTATCATTTTTATTTGTTTTTACAGTGGCCCTAAAACGCCGTCGTAGTCCAGTGAGGTAGTTTAGAGGCATGTGGTAGTTTTAGGCTGCGGTTTGAGTTGCTGGTATAGCAGTGCTGAAGTTTAATAGCGGTCGTACGACCTCGTTTCAGTGTGCAGCAGTGTTAGCTTGTTTGTTTTTCGACTCCTTAATGACTTCATGATTCAGAGGATCTGGTGACGCTCGGGGGGAAATGTAGGACAAATTAAATCAGGTTTGGAACGTTTTGTTTACAGAGTGAGAGCCGAGATGCTGAGAACGCTGTTCATTTTCTCCATAGAGACAAACAGCTCAGACCCAGATTTCCTTATATGGGCATGACGTTGAATACAGAGGTCTTTAATAAACGCCCCCAGATTTTAGGGCACATTTTTACATTACAAACAGAGTGGATTGAAAACTCACCCCAGTGTACCCTCTTAAAAAAACACAGAAACCATTAAGTGTGTCTGTTGGTTCCTGATGGTTTTGTAATGTGTTTTGGCTTTTTTTTGTTGATATCACACTGTAAAGGATCCTAATGGTTAAACAGGTGACAAACGGCTGATTCTAAATGCATTTGATGGTTTCCTAATGGGAGCTAAAGGTGTTTTACAGAAAACTAGAGGTCTCTGCTGGAAACCATTGAGTCAATTCCCATTAGAAAGCAAAGGGCATTAGGTTTTAATCCTAATGGTTTCAGCAGAGAAATAAAACACACAAATATGTACACTACCGTTCAAAAGTTTGGAATCTGGTTTATGAATAATGTATAAATGATTCTTCTCAGTTTTTAGATCATCAGGACTCTAAATATAATATAACATAAATATAAATATAAATGCAGAAATGTGCCCATGATGAGTTGTAGGACATTAAGAATTACATTGTAATAAAATAAACATCCAGAGTTCATCATATGTCGAAAGGAGATCAAATCTCAAGGCAGAAACCGAATAATTACAAAACCTTATCACTCTATCAAATACCTTTCAGCGAATAGTTTGTAACATTCAAATCCTGTCTGATATTCAAACGCTATCTAGGTTAGAAATAATTTCGTGATTCCAAACTTAAAAAATAATCCTTATAATTTATTTGTATTCATTGTTTATTCAATAATCCAAAATGTCATTTTATTCATCACTCAAGTAACGAGACTAAACTCGTGTATAATATTTCATTTTTTTCTTTCTGTATAAGAGTGATGGCTGTGTGTGATGGTGTCTCACTGCCTGCATGTGTTCTTGCTGGAGCTTTTCCTTTAATATTGTGCGCGTTCTCAGTTGCCTTAAATAGAACTGTATATTTTGTTTTTCTGGCATCATTATTGCTGTAACAGTGCTTTCTGTGTCATGCTCAGGTACATCTATATGCATTAAAAAATATGAAATGAACTTCAGAGCAACATTAGACAATCTGCTAGCTCACTAACAGCGGACATGTTCGAGTTCCTGCCCACAGTATGAACGGCCGATATGGACACTTCTGGGTTTGTTTGTTAATCACTGCCACTAAATTCGCCCTCGTGGTTTGAGCAGCAGGGCGTAGGACTGTGTCGTTAATGGATATATTTATGCTAATCCTGGTCTTTGAATATTCATCACTGCTCATTTCTTTATAGCCCTAAATACTGAAACTGTGTACAGGGCATCAAGTTAAAGCAATAGTTCAGCATTTTCAGTCTAATCTCTATTTGATGTATCTGTAGCATAAAATCAATGAGCATAATTGGACAGTAAAGCCGGAAACATACTTTACACAAGAATGCAAACGCAGACGCTTTGAGCTGCGCAGACGGCGTTACGTGCATAGTTACGTTCATAAATGTGTGTCAATGCATTTCGTAATGCAACGCAAGTGCAAGCTGCATTCTGAGCGTTACAGCAGGGGGCTCTATAACGACAGCCAAGCTTGTCCAAGTAATCTCATACTGCCATTGTGTTTTCTCACCTTTCTCACGCAAAGATGGTTTACATAAATCCATTATGGCTTTTGGAATAATAGTAGATCCTCTCTGATTTGTCCTCTAGCGCCCCCTTCAGTACTGAGCGTTTAACCACCATAGTAACATAAGAACGCGCAGCGAGTTGGTACAGAAGGACTGAGCGTTTGCAGTGCCAGGCCGAGCGCTGTTCATTTGCGTTCACGTACTTTACTTGCGTTGAGTCTGTTTCTGGCCTTAGTGGTTGAAACGTGTTGGAATTCCTATAAATGCTAATTGATCATGTTACAGATACATCAAAGAGAGACTGCGCTAAAAATCAGTGAAGTATTCCTTTAAAACTTTTTTTAATTTGGTGATGTTACCAGTCTTAATTCCCATTTGCTTGGAACAAAATGACCCTGCAGTTCATTCACTGGTTTCATTTTTCACGTCCAGAAATTACTGAACGCCTTCGACTTCAGTTTATATTCATCAATGCAAACTGTACTTTACCACCACGAAAGAGTTTGTAAAGTATTATTGTACGAACACTGTTAATACTCATCAGTTTCCTTTCTGAAAACGCTTTCAATCGCTCTCTTCTAACTTCTGGCAGTGTTGTAAGCCGACTCAAATTACTGGTCTGTCTGTTACATTGCTCTGATTTTTTAAAAATAAAAGCACCTGTTAAAAAAATGAGATTGAACGTTTTATTTCAAACCTCTCAGGAACAGAAAGTAGAGCCAAATTTGATTCTTTTCAAAGGCAAATAATCAGCCTCAGTTCCTACACTGAGGAAAGTGGACAGGGCAGATAAAACTGGGTGAAAAGGATAGAGGACATTTCTAAAGTGAACAGCTGAAGACAGTATAAAGTGAATGAACAAAATGGAACAGCTTGTTTTCAGAGCGTCCTTCTGGAGCCGTTAGGAATATTTAAAGGACTCTTATTTTGTTGTCCAGTGTTTCTATACAGTACCTACATCAGCATCGATTGCAGAGCTTTGCGTACAGACGCCATCTCCTCCTGCTGCTGTGAGAAACAGAAATGGAAGGCACTATTATTGATCTTAGTTTGTTTGTCAAATATCAGTAATTATACAGTCCTCTGGCCATTTTATCAGAAACACCTTTCTTACAGCTCCACCTTGCTGGTGAACCGTGGTAGAAGTTATTCAGCACTTTTACCCCTTAAAACACACATAAAGGGACATACAGTGCTTCCAAAATAATCTATTAACATTTTAACAGATCAACTTTGACACATTACTGATGAAAGTGAATCTATGAAGTGCTGAATGTCTTGCTGTTTGGATTGAATAACTAAATATTATTGTTATAATATTATTTTTAGCTCCTATTTGTGCTTAAAATGCTCTTGAATTCCAGTCAGAAAGAGCAAAAATTGCCAAATTTTCACCTTAAATACACTGATGTAAACAATCATTCAGATTTGTTTGATGTGAAATTGTCAGAACTGTTCACAGTGGTGGTGATAGGAACCAGACGTCCCCCTCTAAAAGCTCCCTCACAGAAAGTTACTACAGTAAATGGTTATGAATTCACTGCCTGATGACTGAGACACTGTTTTATGATAGTTTAGAGAACTTAAACTCCATTCATGGTGGAGGGATACATGCAGGGCGCTGTGAGGCAAAATAGTTGGACAAAATAAACTAGGTGCTTTAATAGACAAGGGCCCAGTCCCACTGCACCCCTCGCCACTACCACTCAGTCCTACCACTCTGTTTTGCGTGTTCTCATCTAGGGGTAGGGTGTCCCGATTGTTGAGATAGAGGGGGAGGGTGAAGTGTTGGGGTTACATGACCCTCCAAACGGAGGTTTTTCAGAGACTCCAAACAGAGAGATATGAGAAAAAAAGAAAAACCCGGTAAGATGGAGAACAAGAGACCAAAGAAACACACAAATGTGAGAATTTTCTCTGTTAAAAATTACAATAACCATCATATTCTCTTAGTTTAATGCAATTTCAGTGTATTATGGTCATTTTCTTCATAACAAGCATATAAAGTCGCTAGTAGCGCTGCTGACGTCTCGGCAGCTAAATTGTCCTGTTCCACCTTAAACAGTGCAGCAGTTACATTGTGGCGCCTCAGGTGTCAGAACTGCTGCTCCATTTAAGGTGGAACGGGAAAATCCGAACAAGAAGCTGGTGAATATCTGACTTCAGCTTCATATCACTGAAGAATTAGGGGTGGGTGATAATAAATAATTGCCCCCCTCTTTGAAGTCATATGATGCCCTAAATGTAACTAAAGCCCAGCAGTGAGGAGCTGAACTTTACCCTCCTCTGCTGTCACTGCAGACTGGCAGGGTCGCCTACAGAGCAGCGCTGGTAGCTGTTAATGAAGTGATGCTCTTTTTATTTGAGGGTCCCATTTCAGAGGGGAGACTTCAACCCCTACCCTGTAACTCAGCTCACAAGGGGCGACACTCAATAATAAGGGATAGGGGTAAAAATAAGAGATGGGACTGGGCCTAAGTCTGTCTGTCTTGTTGGACTCACTGTGTTCATGAGGATTTTCTTCTGGAGCAGCGCCATCTCCTGGCGTAACTCGCTCATGACTGTGGTGTTCTGTTCCTCGTGAGTCACTTGCAGCTCCTGCATGCTCTGCAGAATCAAAGCAGAGTTTCAGTCACAGCTCCTGCACTGTCCTGAAGAAAACACTGCGTAAAGGGAGATTACTTTGATGTAGTGGTCCACGAGCTGTCGGAGCGTCTTCAGCCTCTGGCCTTGGGAAGCTCTCATCTGCTGGAACATCGTCTGCTGGTGCTGGAACAAAGACTGACACAAAACAGTGGGATGTGGTGCTGAAGCACTGCGACATCTGAATGCCTTCTCTGATCATTTCTAAGAACTACTGGGAGAGGAGTGGTTTAAATGGGGAGGTTGGCTAATGTAATTTTACCATCTGTATTGTTTATCACCGTTTCACAAATTACACAGACTGGAGTGGCTACTTGATTTAGACACAGCTGTCACACTGTTAAAGCTCCCCATGCGAAACGTTCAGCTGCTCTCAAGCAGAAAACCTTTCTAAACATGGTCTTAATTTAATCTACACTAATGATCCACCTAGCTGTCGTAAGCAGCGTCATTAAAATGGGAATTTACAGCTAACAATCAACAAAGCAACGTAACATCAAACTAATTCTACATGTTTTAACGTTTAGAGTCCTGTACTTTAGGTAAGAGATCACAGATTGAATTGATTTGCACCACATAAAGCACAAGTAAATGCTTCTTCCATATTTCCTCCTTTTCTATAAAATATGATGGAATATTCACTTACATGGCAATTTGCATGAGATAATTATAACCTACAGTTATTTCAATGGTTTGTTTTTTAGCATGGCATTAATATAACCTAGGGTTATCTCTATGATTAGTTTTATAGCATGGGATTAATATTACTGGAGTTTTTGTTATGGTTTTAACAAAGTATATACTATACAAAGTATAACGTATATACTATATTTTACATTTGCTTATTTTCGTTCACTATTAAAATTTGTAATAATTCCTGTATGAAAATGAAAGCAGTGTAACAGAAGTGTAAATCTTTGACCTAATACCAATTTGATATGATTTTTAAAAGGGATTCAGTGCGAGGGTTTAGACATGCCATTAAGAAATGGTTAAGAGAAGGAAGAAAATAGGTATTTAGTAGTCAGTTTTATGACGATTAAATATACTGATTACTTTTATTGTTAATTTTTAACAACTGTATTGATATGGAGTGATTTTGTATCATGGTGCCATGTTTGCAGTGTTACATCTGCTGTTGGATTTGTTTAGATTAAGGACCACAGTGGTCTTCAGTCTTCAGACATTTTTGTGTTCTGCCTGACTTTTTCTGTTTTTATTATATGCATTGCCTCTTTGGAAGAGTGGTGAATGCTGTGTATTTAAAAAAATATTAAATTATCTAAAAAATAATCAATCAATACTATAAATGTGACTAGAGGAATCACCACCTTCTGACTGACGCAGTGTGAAGCACTGATGAAACTTTACAACCCTAATATTGAAACGTACATAAGTAGAAAACAAGAAACACAAAGTACAGAAAGATCCTGAAAACATCAACATGTAAAACTGTTTATAGGATTACCATGAGCTTCTTGTCCTGGTCTTTGGTCCTCTGTATATCTGATTCCCACTGCTGGAACACAGAGCTGAACTGAGTGCCGTAATCTTCAGACATCTGAGCCCTGAAATACAGAAACAACAGTTCAGTTAATGATTTACTATCTGTTAGTACAGAAATACCGAAGGTGGAGTTGAAGTGTGCCAAAACTTGATAGACACTCAATAATCAAACCAGAATACATAAACAAAACACAACCACCTCAGTACGACTGTCTTTACTATACAGTGTGAAAATATATACTATATATTTAGTTATTTTCATTTACTATTAAACTTTTTACTGATTTCTGCATGAAAAAGTAGACAGTTCAATGGAAGTGTAAATCATTGACCTAATACCAATTTCATCTGATTTCTAGAAAGGATTGAGTGCATCAAGAAATCTCAAGTTTCAGTAATTTAACTTGCTTATTTTACCAGGGCGTTGTAAGTTTCAGCGTATCAAAAGCGTTTATTACCGCTCCTTCTGTTGAGACTTCCACATCTCCTCGATCTTCTGCTGGCTGGTTTTGAGAGAAGAGCTGGTGAAGGACTCGAAGCATTTCTTCTTGGTGACAAATGCTTTATTTATATCAGCTGTTGGAGAGAAAGACCAAGCAGAGCACTAGAACAGCACTCATACAACACCAAAAAGCAGGCTGACCGTAATTTACAGGTAAGCAAAAAGAAGAATGATTAAACAAATACAGTTTTATTAGATTACCATACCTCTAAAATTGTTCAGCATGGCCATCACCTCCCCACTGCAAATAAGAAGAGGCAAAGTTAGTGAAAAGTTGAAAAAATCCACTGATTCTTCCAAATTTCTTTCATAGTCCAGTGTGTGAGATGTAAACAGAGTGATTCAGAGTGGTCTGATGTGAAATGGTTCAGATGTCTTTACAGTGGTGGTGATAGGAACCAGGGGTCGCCATGACTACAACACAGATATAGACATTTTATTTACTATCCAAACCTGTAGGAAGGTAGATATCTAGGAGGAGGCTTGGGGACCACTGTTTTAGACCCAAAACCTACTCAAAACTATCATTTGTGTGTCTCAGTCATCAGGCAGTGAATTCATAACCATTTCATGTAGTAACTTTCTGTGAGGGAGCTTTTAGAGGTGGACGTCTGGTTCCTATCACCACCACTGTGATCACATCAGATCACTCTGAATTATTTTGTTTATATCTTACTCATTAAATATAGTCCTTAATTATCAGAACAGGTACTGATGATATCTAATGAACTGAAGGGAGTATGTTTCATGATTTTTTTTATTTATGGATCAAAACTCGGCTTTATCTTTCTTCATTACCCCTGAGAGATGTCGGCGGAGGACCGGCGCTTCCTCCCTTTTAATGAAGCACCTGGACAAAAGCATATTTCTGAGTATGACAGGCAAAGTGCTGGAGATAAGAGAGTTAATATACCCTTATTATTTATTTTCATAGTTCAGTACCAGTTTTGCTGGTGTCCTTTGAAGCACTGCAGTCTTTCAGAGACATTGCTGGCGTTTTATATCAAGCAAATCACTCTTCAGTGTCACTTTAGCTCCTACAAAACACAAATGAGAGGAAGAGGAGTTATTTAACTAACAGACTAACTGTGATTATAACCTTTCTCTGAAGAATACTGCATAGTCACTATCTACAGCATCAATACTGACAGCAATCGTTCATTAAAAATGGGATTTTCTGTTTTGTTATACAGACACCAGTATTTGAATAATATAAATTGATATCTATTTTATTATAGGTTAGTTAGCTTAACTAGGTTAGTTCAGTAACCTCAGCGCTACACTGGGGGCTGACAGACAAGCTAAGCTACATTAGCAACCGTTAGCGAGCGCTAATACAGATTCAGACGTACAGAGGTGACTTGAGTAGAAATTTCTGACAACGATGTTAAATATCTCATCAACTTATTTCGAAAAACAAAATAATGACGACACTGTGCGCGGTGGAGGCTATTTTTATACAAATAATACCAGGCTACTGCTTTTTCAGCTACCGTTAGCTCGTTGGCTAACGCTAATTTCGATAACTAAGCTATGAAGACTGCCTGACGACGTGAATACAGATTTAGACAATTCTGAGCTGATTTTAGGAACAAAAACGCTAATTATAAGCCCCAAACAGTGGCAGCTAAATGCTAAATTAATTTCTTGCATCTGACCGTTATCCTCTTACCCGCCGCCAGAGCGCGCCATCTAAACTATAAACATTAGCGAAACTGCCCACATACTGATCACATTCTGTCCCGGATTAATGTAAACATAGTCTTTTATATGTTGAAATCCCATTTACTTCATTATAAATGACATAAACGGCCTGAACCAATGTTTATGTGGTATTTTAATTTGGTAGTATTTGGGTTTAGACGCAGTTCCAAATTTAAACTAACGATACTGGGTCGGTTCCGAAAGAGTCGATTCTTCGACTCCGACACGTCTGGGAGTCGGGGTCGACTCTTTGCCAGTGACTCGGAGAGTCGAAACGCTGAGTCGTGCCACCGAGGCCTGGGAGTCGATCCCCATAAGAACTGATTTTCTGATTCCAGGCATTTGAGAATATCGACAGACACTGACGTTATTTGTTCATTTTGCGATGCTGATGTAAAAATTTTACCTCATTTTGGAATTTTCTTTGCACTGTTATCTTTTGGAGTTTTTTTATTTTTGTTTGCCAAAATACTTGTAATGATGTTTCTATCTGTGAAGGAAGAGAGAAAGAGTATTTTCTGAACAACCGTCTTATACTTTTTGCAACATTTCACATCCACAATAGGAAACTTAATAACAAGGGACCTCTTTTTTATTGTTGATCAAGAAATTAAACAATATCCACATAGTATTTCTGCTTCAACCAACACTAAAACTAAAACTTGTTTTCTTCTTTAAAAGTTTTACTCGATTGTGAATTATTTGAACCCCTAGCAGTGACTGCAGTATTCCTGAGAGACAGGCTGGACACGTAGAGCATCTTATGGTGAGTCTGCGCTGTTTATTCTGTGTCTTTTATTCTGTAAATCTCATTAGAATAATAGACGTTTACATATCGTCTATTAAAGTGGCAAATCTGGGCCCTCTGCTGGAGAGTTACGGTTAATACACTCAGTGCGCCCTCTGCAGGAGCTTTATGGTTAATACAGTCTGTTCCTCAGTGCGCCCTCTGCAGGAGCTTTATGGTTAATACAGTCTGTTCCTCAGTGCGCCCTCTGTTGGAGCTTTATAGTTAATACAGTCTGTTCCTCAGTGCGCCCTCTGCTGATCTAACCGAGCACTGCAGGGTCAGTGCGGATGACGTATGCGAGTCGCGTGAAGCTCATAGGAAGTGCACTGAGCTTACAGTCAGACTGAAAGCAAAGACAAAAGCAAACAGAGAGAGAGAGAGACGGAGACGGAGAGCAGGAGGGAGCCCGAGTCTCTTCTTTTCTTCTGGGAGAAGAAATGACATGGCCAGGTGACCGTATGACGAGGTGACGTCAGCAGCCTCCTGAACAGGTAAACCTGTCTGTGGTTCGTTCTGCTGGTTGTTAGGCGTTTAGAGCAGCAGCAGTAAAGAGTTCAGCACATCTGATCACTTCTGTTCCTCTGCCGACAGTCTTTGGAAGATATAACTGTGCTATAACGTCATTCCACATGAGGATGGACACGTTTATAAACATGAACGATGTATTTAAACTCTGTAAAATTTCGGACATTTGCATTATTACATAGTCCAGTAAAGCTGTAGGCGGGGCGTCGCTGCTCTCACAGGACTCTCATGGGAGCAAAACCAGAGGAAGTGAGAATTAGTGATGCTAAAATAACGAGCTGTGACTTCGGGCCGCTTTCGTTTCTTCTGAAAAGAGGAAACCTGTTGTTTTCTGTCTCAGACAGGCAGAGGAAACAAACACCTACAGAGCCCGCCTGACCGACCGCGGCTGCGCAGTGAGGTAAGAGCTTTCAGAGCTTTATCAGTTAGAGTTCTTTACATTCACTATTAGGGCTGTAACGATTCACACAGTTCAGAATTCAGCTCGATATGATTCAGTTCTGTTCTGATTCAGTACATTTTCAACAGAAATAAAGTGCCTAAAAATGTCTTTATTAGAATAAAGTTTCCATTTTATTAGAACATCCAGCTTTACACAAACACAGCGTAAGATACGTTAGCCCAGTCTATCTCGCCACAGGCTATTATTAACCATGAGCTACTATGTTAGCGCCGATCTAACACATTAGCTACAAGCTAATATATTAGCGCCGATCTAACACATTAGCTACAAGCTAATATGTTAGCGCCGATCTAACACATTAGCTACAAGCTAATATTTTAGCACCGATCCAACATAGTAGCCATGAGTTAATATGTTAGCGCCGATCCAACACATTAGCTACAAGCTAATATGTTAGCACCGATCCAACATAGTAGCCATGTGCTAATATGTTAGCGCCGATCCAACACATTAGCTACAAGCTAATATGTTAGCACCGAGCCAACATAGTAGCCATGTGCTAATATGTTAGCGCTGATCCAACACATTAGCTACAAGCTAATACGTTAGCACCGAGCCAACATAGTAGCCACGTGCTAATATGTTAGCGCCGATCCAACACATTAGCTACAAGCTAATACGTTAGCACCGATCCAACATAGTCGCCATGTGCTAATATGTTAGCGCCGATCCAACACATTAGCTACAAGCTAATACATTAGCACCAATCCAACATAGTAGCCATGTGCTAATATGTTAGCGCCGATCCAACACATTAGCTACAAGCTAATACATTAGCACTGATCCAACATTGTCGCCATGAGTTAATATGTTAGCCCTGATCTAAGACACTAGTCAAAAGCTAATATATTAGCCCTTAACTAATGGAATAGCCACAAACTACTCTGTTAGTACCGATACAACGCACTGTACATAAGCTAATATATTAGCCCCGGTCTAACACATTAGCTCATGATCCAACACACTAGCCATGAGCTAATATATTAGCACTGAACTAATGAAGTAGCCACAAGCTAATACGTTAGCCTGATCTGTGCTAACCGCAAGCTGTGCTGGCCATGGTACAGTGATGCAGTACTGCAGTGCTTTGTTGTGTTGTTACACCTGTGTGACTCTGTTATTCTGCCTGTAAGTGGACGCTGCTCTGTTTGACTGGAGAATATGTAGTTATTTAATGTATTTAAGATGCTGCTGTGGTGCTTCTAGACGTTTCTGTCCTCACAGGATCAGCACAGAGAGAGAGAGCGAGAGAGCGAGAGAGGGAGAGGGAGAGGGAGAGATATGTGGTGGTTCCAGGAGGGTTTGTGTGCTCTGCCCGTCGCGCTGGTCGTGTGGACAGCAGCTACATTCATCTTCGCCTACATCACAGCCATCATTCTGAGACATGTGGACCCGTTCGTCCCGTACATCAGGTGAGAGACAGGTAGAGATGGTTAAAGGAGAATCCCACCCATGTTTCACATTTTCTGCATAACTCAGATTCAGAGTGGTTTGGTGTGAAATGGTTCAGATGTCTTTACAGTGGTGGTGATGGGAACCAGGGGTCGCCATGACTACAACACAAATATAGACATTTTATTTACTATCCAGAACCACCAGTGAACCTACACGAGTCTTCTGAGTTTATATGGAATGTTGATGATGGAAAATAGTGGAAAATCTGAAATAATAAGTTTTCTTTGGGGACTATTTTGCCTCACAGCGCCCTGCATGTATCCCTCCACCATGAATGGAGTTTAAGTTCTCTAAACTATCATAAAACAGTGTCTCAGTCATCAGGCAGTGAATTCATAACCATTTCATGTAGGAACTTTCTGTGAGGGAGCTTTTAGAGGTGGACGTCTGGTTTCTATTCCTATCTGGTTCCCATGAACAGTTCTGACTCGCTAAGTTTATCTAGACCAGAGAGTTTCACACCAAACCACTCTGAACCGCTCTGAACCCCTTTGTTTACATCTTAACCATTTAATTGTGCAGGATATTTGAAAAGTCGGTGAACGTGTTTGTGTTTGTGTTATTGCAGTGATACGGGGACGGTGGCTCCTGAGAGGTGTGTGTTCGGGATCATGCTGAACGTGTCAGCGTTTCTAGGTACAGTCTGAAAACCTTTCTTTCTCTTTCTGGAGGTTCTAGATACGTCACTGACTGTGAATACGAGTCGTGGTCTAAACAGGTTCCGGTTAGTTGTTAGGAATGTTAAACAGTGGCTGCAGCTCTATGCAGGACTCTGTACTGAGAGAGTCACCGTAACAATGATGCACAAACTCAGATACATGATAACATCTGATACACGCTTCAGATAAAACACATGGAACGACTTTAACAAGCTTCACAGGTCTGTGTTTAATCTAGAACAGCCAAAAATGCGTGTATGTTGGGCACAAACATACTATTATAAATATCATAGCAGCTATAATTATACTCAATAAAATATAAGAAGGTTTTATATAGAACCATGTACAGCACATTCTCCTTCAATCTGAAGAACCATTTTAACCATTTAATCATGCAAAGAGTTCTTTGAGTGGTCATGGTTCTGTATAGAACCATTGTCTTTACTAAAGAACCCTTGAAAAACCATCATTTTTAAGAGTGTACGAGTTTGGATCTTTAAGCTGACAGCAAATCGAATCATGGCTCATTGGTTGTCGATTTGATTCAAAGCCTATCTTTGTGATTTAAGAGCGATTCAGTTCAGTTCACAGAACAGCAGTTTGAGAATCTCACACATATTTGTTTAAACAGTAATAACCTTTATTTATTTATCACCAAGATTTCAAAGGCTTTACATACAAATTAGACAAAAAATAAGGTAAAATAAAAATAGAGTGAAACCAAAACCACAATCATAAAGAATTCACAGAAGAGAAACAGTATAAAAAACTGATAAAACACTAAACATCAGTAGCATTCATACAATACAAACTCCACAATAATAATAAGCTCCTAAATAGTATAAAACAAATAAAAATTTAAAGAATAAAATAAAAATGTATTTTACTACAAATCACAAGTAGAATGATTACCTTTAAGGATTATGAATAAGCCATTCTGAACAAGTACGTCTTTAGATTTGAGGATATTTATTCAGCGATTTTAAAAACTATTTTTGACCGATGCATAAGATTCAGTATTCAGTGTTTCCTTTTATGATGGAACAGAATAATAAATAAACTGCCTGTAAGGTAAGGTGTAAACTGCCTGTAAGGTAAGGTGTAAACTGCCTGTAAGGTAAGGTGTAAACAGCTTGTAAGGTAAGGTGTAAACAGCCTGTAAGGTAAGGTGTGTAAACGGCCTGTAAGGTAAGGTGTAAAGGGCCTGTAAGGTAGGGTGTGTAAACGGCCTGTAAGGTAAGGTGTGTAAACAGCCTGTAAGGTAAGGTGTGTAAACGGCTTGTAAGGTGTGTAAACAGTCTGTAAGGTAAGGTGTAAACTGCCTGTAAGGTAAGGTGTAAACAGCCTGTAAGGTAAGGTGTAAAGGGCCTGTAAGGTAAGGGGTGTAAACAGCCTGTAAGGTGTGTAAACAGTCTGTAAGGTAAGATGTAAACAGTCTGTAAGGTGTGTAAACCTTCTGTAAGGCGTGTAAACGGTCTGTAAGGTATAAATAGCCTGTAAGGTGGTTGTGAGTTTAATATTATTCAATATAATGTCCTGAATGCTGGGAAAGAAAGTGGGCCATACTGGTAAAGGTGTGTTTTGTGTGTGGTTCTGCAGGCGTTGCCACCATGTATGTGCGGTATAAGCAGGTTCAGGCTCTGATGGATTTGGAGCAGAAGCGGGTTCTCCAGCTGAACTCTGTCGGCCTCCTGCTGGGCTGCATCAGCTCCTTCGGCATGTGTGTGGTGGCCAACTTCCAGGTAAGACTGAGACGATTATTCATCCAAGTTAGTTATTCATACTTATTCATTATTTCAGTTAAGGTGCAGTGTGTGAGTTTATGGGGGTATTTAAGGGGGGATTGGTTAGCAGAAGTGGAATATAGTAACAAAACCATGTTTTCATCAGTGTCTAATCATGAATCGTTGTCCGTTAGCTTAGAATGAGCCCTTCATATCTACATAGGGAGCAGCTCCTTTTAAACAGAGACCGTTGTGCTGCCCTGTTTTTACAATAACCCAGAGCGGACAAACCAAACTCTGGCTCTAGAGGGCGCCTTTTGCGCTTTCACACTGTAGTGGCAGCCTGAATTTGGTGCCGCTGTAGCTCCGGTCGGAAGATGTAGAAAGGAAAAGAATCAGCGGAGCTGCTGGTGCTGCTGACCATTCTGTGCTGTGAGAAATGTGAGAACCCGAATTTTGACAAATGAAGGATCAGACTTATTATTTAGAACAAGAGAAAGTGAGTGAGGGTGAATCCTCACAGTCAAGAGAAAACATGAAGAAGCAAAACGAAATCAGGACGACGGCAGAAAACCTAATGGCCACCATAGGTTCTACTACACGCTTGGAAAGGGAGGGGTGAGGGAGGGGAATTCAGCTGGGTGTAATCTGCAACCTCACCACTAGATGCTGATAAATCTTACACACTGCACCTTTAAAAGCAAAGCGGTAATGCATTATGATATGGAAAAGTGCTCTATAATGTTCATATGATCCACACAGTCATTCTGACAGACTGTAATACACTACAGGAAGCGTAGAACCCTTCATAAGTTTGATTAGAGGATTTATAGAGAGCCAGGGAAGTTCTAGATACGTCACTGACTGAATATGAACGGCAGCCTGGTTGTTGTTCTCTAAGGGCCGGTGTGGCTGCAGGTTTTCATAGGCGCTAACATGATCAGTTGTTTAAAGACACTGACTGATTAAATGAGCTTTCTCTTCTTGTCTGGAATGAAAACCTGGACCCACTGCGGCCCTTTGTGGATCAGATTGGACACTCCTGGCCTGGAGTGACATTTATTTCTCAGAAAATTAGTCCAACATGAAACCATGATTGGTTGATTCCTCGGTCACTTCATATCGATGCTGATAGTTAATCTAAGGACTTCTCTTCAGCTCCTGAAGTCCTGACCAATAGGAGAGCTCGCTCAGCTGTATCTATCCAGACACTGATTGGCCAGTTTCCCACTGTCCATTTCAAGATATTAACCCCTTTTGTTTCCATCTAGAACTTAATAAAACAATAACAGTAAAACGGGAGTGGTGCTGTAATTCCTACAGAGTTTAAACTCAAGCATAATTCTGCTGAATTAAAATGAACCTAAAATTACAGACAGGTTTTTTAGTTCCAGAAATCATCAGTGCTCCAGGGCTCTGGAGTCATAAGTCTTTTGAAATAAGTCTTTTGAAATAAACGTAACGAACAGCTTTAGAGGAACCGCTCTGAACCGCAGAGCTGTACGTGTTCTCTGAATGTTCCTCCTTTGCTCTCCTGCAGAAAACGACGGTGTTCTCTCTGCACATGGTGGGCGCCGTGCTGACGTTCGGAGTCGGGGCGCTGTACATCCTCACCCAGACGGTGCTGTCCTTCTCCATGCAGCCGCTCGTCCACAGCAAGAGCGTGTTCTGGACTCGACTGACCCTCTGCGTGTGGACCTTCAGCAGCATCATCAGCAGTATCCAAAACACAGTTCACAGGGCCGGCCAGCGGGGACGTATATGATCACATACACACGTGATCATGTTAAT